GCATTTCATTACCTGCTGTGACGATGTGGTGCAATCGGTCCAAAAATGCGAGAATGTGAGGTGTGTTGTAAGGGCCCATTTTGGCATGACGGAGGAGAACCCCATGCTGTGAAATGGCAGCGCAAAGGGTGATGTTACCCCCACGTTGCACTGGGACATTGATTATAGCCCTGTGGCCAATGATATTTCTGCCTCTCCTTGCTTTTGTGAGGTTGAAACCTGCCTCATCAATATATATGAATTCATGCAGGATTTCCTCAGCATCCATCTGCAAAACTCTCTGAAATACAGTGAAAGACAAGATTGTGTAGTTCAGGATAGGTCTAGTTTACAGTCAATGTAAAAAAGTAATGTGTGCAGTATGCAACATCACAGTGCTAAAGTGAACAATACAAACCTCCACATACTCATGCCGCAGCCGTTTGACCCTCTCTGAATTCCGCTCAAAAGGCACTCGATAAAGTTGTTTCATTTGAACCTGATGTCTTTTCAGGATGCGTGCCAGTGTTGATTGAGAGACCTGATGGACATTATTGAAAATGGCATGGTCACCGATAATGTTGGCTTGTAGTTCTCTGAGTCTGATAGCATTATTGGCCAAAACCATGTTTATTATCTCTCTCTCTTGTTCTTGCGTGAATATGGGCCCCCTTCCTCCTTGTCGTTCCCGACCCTCAATCCTATGTAGAGAATAATACATGTAACTTACTGTACAATGTCACAGGAAGGGGTATCACAAGTGCTGATATGGTGCATACAATAAGCGGCTGATTACTGTAACTGTAGACAGATCTTCTTTTACCTGTTTTCCTGTCGAAAAGTCCTTATGACAGATGACACTGTATAACTGCTAAGATTTGGCTGAACTCTCAGTCCAGCCTCCCTCAGCGTCAATCCGTGGTTCACAACATGGTCCACTAGTGTTGCACGAATGTCATTTGATAAGTTTGGTCCTCTTCTTCTTTGTGCACGTTCTCCTCCTGCTTCAGGTCTTCCTCGTCCTCTGGCTCGGCCTCTGCCTCTTCCTCTACCTCCTTCTCCTCCTCTGTGTACTCCTCCTCTCACCCTCACTCTTCTTCTGACTCCTTCCATTTTGGTTGAAGGCAGGTGAACCTACCTGCTGCATTTTTATAGTGCTTAAACCTGATTGGTGTGTCTACAATTTAGCAATCATGTGTTTGTGCACCTGATGGCTGTGTTTAACAGATTGGCTCATAGGTGTGGTAATTTGACAGTCAGTGCTTTGGAATTGCAAGGAAGTGACATCATGATATACTTCTGTGTCTGATGTATACAAGTGTGTTTAGTGTTTTGCAAATAGTGTGAAGCTGACAATGTGCTTACAGTTGTGCAAATCTAGCCTTGTGTTTTGCTCCTTGAGTGTAAGGTTTTGCTAATTGTGGGAAAATTTTAATTTTAGTGTGTAAGCAATCGTAAAAAACTGTAATTACACGTTGGGTGGTGTATCAATACACCCAGTCAGTACAAAGATACAGGCTTCCTTCCTAACTCAGTTGCCGGAGAGGAAGGAAACCACTCAGGGATTTCACTATGAGGCCAATGGTGACTTTAAAACAGTTACCGAGTTTAATGGCTAATAGTAACCTAATTGACAGAGTGAAAAGAAAGAAGCCTATACAGAATACAAATACAGTTTTGACTTAAACCTACTTGAAAATCGATGGTAAGACCTGAATATGGTTGTCTAGCAATGATAAACAACCAATTTGACAGAGTTTGAATAATTTTTTAAAGAATAATGGGCAAATGTGGCACAATCCAGGTGTGGAAAGCTCTTAGAGACGTACCCAGAAAGCCTCACAGCTGTAATCACTGCCAAAGGTGCTTCTACAAAGTATTGAATACTTTGTGTAAATTAGATATTTCTGTATTTCATTTTCAATAAATGTGCAAACATTTCTAAAAACATGTTTTCACTTTGTCATTATGGGGTATTGTGTGTAGATGAGTGAGAAAAAAACAAAACCATTTAATCCATTTTGAATTCAGGCTGTAACACTTCTATTCTGAAGGCACTGTACACACGCACACGCACACGCACACGCACACGCACACGCACACGCACGCACACACACACACACACACACACACACACACACACACACACACTGTAATGTGGTCTGGGTTACATAACCTCTACAATCATAGATTCACCTTGCGGGCAGACAGACATCTCAGCACTCAGCATTGGGTGTGGGTAGGTGAGAACGAGAGAGAGAGAGAGAGTATTTTTGGGTAACATGCTCTCAGGGGATAGGTAGTCAATGAGTGCAAATAGTTATTTTTCATGGACTGAGTAAGTGTGTGCATGTTTTCATTCTGTTAGCCTTGTTCACTGACACGGTGTTGACCTGATGGAATTAATAATCTCTCCATTAATTATTTAATATCTCTCTCTCTACCTCTCTCTTCCTCCTCCCTCTCGCTACAGGGTATAATTCTGTCTGGAGGGCAGCGCCAGCGTATAGGTGTTGCCAGAGTCCTGTACCAACAGACCAATGTGGTCTTGCTGGTGAGAGAGACAGCCCAGTGAATGATAGACTGCATTTGGACAGGGACACTGTACAACAAAAACAGAAGTCTCAGTATACAGAGAAATCATGCCTTGCACCAGATTTAGATAGCAGCTAATTTCCATCTGATTTTCCAATCAGCTTGATCAAAATAACCAGAACTCCATTAGTTCTGTTTTTGACCATTTGACATTTAACTTTTAATCTGTGTTGTTTCAGGATGACCCATTCTCAGCGCTGGACATTCACCTGAGTGACCACCTGATGCAGGAGGGCATCCTGAAACTGCTGAGAGAAGAGAAGAGGACTGTGGTTCTGGTCACTCACAAACTGCAGTACCTACCACATGCTGACTGGGTGAGAGCACAGTGTGTGTGTGTGTGTGTGTGTGTGTGTGTGTGTGTGTGTGTGTGTGTGTGTGTGTGTGTGTGTGTGTGTGTGTGTGTGTCAGTGGAGGCTCTTCAGAGGAGGAAGGGGAGGACCAGCCTACTCAGTGAATTTCATAAAAATAGTGAAACATTAACAAAGTTATCCTTTGTAGATAAAATTATACTAAATATATTCATGTCACCAAATAACTGATTAAAACACACTGTTTTGCAATGAAGGTCTACAGGAGCCTCAACAGCACCCTCTAGGGTAGCGCCATTGTGTAGCCGGAGAACAGCTATTTTCTGTCCTCCTCTGGGTACATTGACTTCAATACAAAACCTAGGAGGCTCATGGTTCTCACCCCCTTCCATAGACTTACGCAGTAATTATGACGACTTCCGGAGGACGTCCTCCAATCTATCAGAGCTCTTGCAGCATGAACTGACATGTTGTCCATCCAATCAAAGGATCAGAGAATGAATCTAGTACTGAAAGCATAAGCTACAGCTAGCTAGCAACGCAGTGCATAACGTGTGGTGAGTGTTTGACTCAAAGAGAGAGAAAGACAATAGTTAAACAGTTTTGAACAAATTAACTTCTTTAAAAATTAAGAGACAGAAATATTTAGTTGTTATTCTTAGTTTACCTTACACTTATTTAGCTAGCTAATGAAGCTAAGTTATCCTACTCAACAACCTGAATGCTATTTATGTTAGCTAACTGGCTAAGGCTACTGCAACTCTTCCAAGTCAAGGTAAGCTTTCTGTTTTAGTAATTTATTGCCATTAGAGTATCATGTAGTAGCCTAAACCTATCAATATTACATTGAGTTGGGTGAATGGAACAGGAATGACAGTTATCCAATATGCTGTAATATAAATAAGGCCATGCTCATTAAAAACATATCGTCCTCCCTCATCATAAACAGCACCAACCGCCTGGGGCTGTGTTTCTACTAAGCTAACATATGGAATTATTTTAAGATGGTCATACCAAGGATCATTTAGTTATTTGATTTAGAATTTTAGGACCCCTATAAGTGTTAAAAAAAAAACAAAAAAAACATTGAATTTGGCCTTACTGCTATTAGCCAATAGAAACGCATTGAATAACATATACATACATGGCGAAACAAATAGTCAAGAAATAAATAAAAAGGAAGTATGTTTTTATATCTGAGAGATATAACAAAGCTCAGGATTATATATATTTTTAAACCAAATTTAAACCCTTTTTTGCCACTAAATTACTTCCATATATACTTTTTTTAATAGTTTTTAGTGGTTCCAGGGCTACCTTCAGACGGGTCTTGCCAGGCTTGTGGGCATCCTAGAGCAAAGCAACATGCATGTGTTCGTGAGAGTCTCACCTTCCGATGGTGGGTTCATATTAGTGTGTAGCCAAAACTGTTCGGACACTACAGACAGAATGGCACCGACTGCCACTGATGTGTCTGTGGGTTTGTGGTTTTACTATCCTTGTGGGGAACAGAAGTCCTCACAAGGATAGTAAAACAAGAAACATTCTCCACAAGGAAAAAGTATATTTTAGGCTTAGGGGTTAGGTTTAGGGTTAGAGTTACAATTAGGGTTAGGGTTAGAATAAGGGTTAGGGATTAGGGTTAGGGGAAATGGGAATCAATTGTTAGGTCCCCACAAGGATAGTAAAGAACGTGTGTGTGTGTGCGTGCGCACGTCTGTAGATTGAGCCACTAATTCATTCACCTGTTCTTTATCTCTTTCTCTCCATTCCTCCGGCTCTTCCTCTCTCTCTCCCTCCGTGGTCAGATCATAGCGATGAAAGACGGCACCATTCAGACCGAGGGGACTCTGAAAGACATCCAGAACTCTGATCCTGAGCTGTTTGAACAGTGGAAGACCCTGATGCACCGGCAGGATGGGGAGTTTGAGAAGGTACCAGGCCATGTGTCTATAGATGGCAATGACAGACAGAGCCAAAGGGGTGATATTGTCGCAACAGATGAGCAATAGTAATGTGTTTTTACTGAGCTTGCTCTTTTTGTGTCCTCTTTTCCTGCTTTGTTTTAAATTCATCTGGTCACGTCTATTTCGGCAAACTACCTGGAACTCTGACATGTGTCTGTTCCAGGAGACAGTGGCTGAGAGTATGACGGTGTTGGAGCGTAAGAACCTTCGGAGGGCCATGTACTCCAAGGAAGCTGCCAAGACTGAGGAGGAGCACGAAGGTGAGAGGTCAAAGTTCACAAACCTCCCCATGAGACTGAGGGACTCCGGCTGTCAATCACTCTCTGATGGAAACCGGGGGGTTAGCATCATTGGTATTTGCTTTTGGATGCTTTGTTTGTGCAGACTGCAAAATTACAGGTGATATATTTACTGGGTGGTAACATTTTATGAATTTACCCTCTGTGTCTCTAAAATGTGATGCCTCCACAGTTTTCCTATCCTTGTATCAGTCTCTGAACCTACTGTGGAACTAATAATGTATTTGATCCTGTTGTGTCTGTCTGTGGCCCAGTAGTAGTACTCATCAATGGCCTTCTTTTCTCATCCTCTGTCACCATTCACCACTGATCTGTAAAAGACATGGACTGGTCAAGTCCTGGGGCAAAGGCTCCACGTCTTTAAGATCTGTTGAAAAGGAAGGGGGGGGGATCTGATCCTTGGGGGCCTGCTGGTTTCATCCTTTTCATCCTTTCCCTTTTCAACAACTGGTTTAGGCCTGGGAAACCAGGTGAAGAATCAACACCATTACTACTGGAATAAAGTACCAGTGGGAAACAGGAAAACCAGCACACTGCTGCTCCCTAGGACCAGAGTCCCACACTGGTTTAGAATATAGATAGAAGTTTTCTTTAAGCACAGATCTCGGATCAGCTAACCCTCCCCATCCCCAAATCATTACCTCCTTCACATTACTGACCCTAGATCAGCATCTAAGGTAACTGCATCACACTCTGAGTCTGTTTGTTTTGTGTGCCTGTCAGTGTTGTTGTGACAGTGTCATGCTGGTGGCAGTGCTCTCTTCATTCTGTGTTCTGCGTTGTCACCTGTGTTCTGGTGGCACCCCGGTGTGGACTCGTGCGATATCCCCAGCACAGAGTGCTGCTGCTCTTTTAGCCGAAGCAGGGCCGACCGCATGGTTTTATAAGAGTGGTGACCGATCGTGACCAGTCTGTGGCATCGTGCTGCAACTACACTCCTTGCTACTTCCCATGTAGATCCTACCCTATGTCCATATTGCTCCTATTGGCTTGTAGCTTGAAGACTCTGCCCATGATCCATTCTTACCAGTTCCCATCCTCTTTCTCTCCCTCTCTCTCCATCCCTCGCTCTTTCTTTCCTTATCTATCCCTCAGCCCTGTCCCATAGACACGTAGGCGCCCATGCAGTCATCAGGTTTGCTTGCAGATATGATGTATATTTAGATGAGGGGAGGAGCTTCACTCACCGTGACCAATGTGTCCTGCCTGCTCTCTACTGCTCTCCATTCTCTGGCTAACCTTAACCCAACACCCGACACATGAGTATGAGGATTTGTTTTGCCCATCAGCTACAGCTATACCAGTGGAGGCTGCTGAGGGGAGGACGGCGCATAATAATGTCTGGAACGGAGCCAATGGAATGGCATCAAACCATGTGTGTTTGATGTATTTGATACCATTCCACATATTTCGCTCCAGCCATTACCACGAGCCATCCTCCCCAATTAAGGTGCCACCAACCTCCTGTGAGCTATATCTCTTTCTCTTCCCCCATTCTCTTTTTTATTGTTTCTCTCTCTCTACCTATCCCTCTATCATACGTCTCTCTGTCCTTCCAGAAGAGTCTGTGGAAAGTGACGAGGATGACAACCTGTCCCAGGCCATGCGTCACCGCGCCACCATCCCCTGGCGCTCCTGTGGGGTCTACCTGTCCTCTGCAGGGCTCCTCCTCCTGTCGCTGCTCCTCCTATCACAGCTCTTCAAACACTCCTTCATGGTTGCAATCGACTACTGGCTGGCCCACTGGACCTCCCACGTCATCACTGCCAAGATGGACGCCGCCGGGAGAAACTGCACCGTCGCTCAGGTCAGGGGTCAAGTTTGGTTCTACCAAACCAAACGGCAATGTGCTTTCAAAACACTGTGGTTACGCTTTATTCTACAGACCACTATTTACAGTACAGTGTTGTATTCCCTTATAAAGGAGTGAAATGGTAGTTTACAGGATAATTCCTGCTAACTACAGCATTCATTTCATATATACAGCTGAAATAGTATCATAAGATAATGTTAGAAAACAACACATGTTGAGTTAAGTGCTGTACTTTTGACCTAAAAGTAATGTTCCCAGACGGAGCCTCCATATGTGTGTGTTGCCCTTGAGCTACACTCAGTCTCATCCTCATATGTAGATTAAATGGCAATTCCACCACTTTTCAACTAAATGTTCATTATCTCCAGCATAATACCACGATCTACATATGTGAAAAAGGTTCATTTCTACGTTTTGTACAAAAAATATATAAAGTGAAAACGTTTTAAAAACTGATTTTCAAACACTGTTTCAAGTTTTATTAGTCGTATGTACACCTTCTAATGAAATGCTTAGTTTCAGGTTCCTTCTCGACAATGCAACAACAATAAGAAATAATAAAAGATAAGAATACGACCATAAAGTAAGGGAGTGAAAAGCTTGTGGCTGGGGTGTGTGTGGGGGGTTCTTGATGATGCTGGGGGCCTTCATCAGGCACCGTTTCGAGTAGATGTCCTGGAAGGGTGGGCGCACAGTTCCAGTGATGTACTGGGCCGCCTTTACCATGCGCTGGAGGGCCTTGCGGTCGTGGATGGAGCAATTCTCCTACCAGGCCGTGATGCAACTGGTCAGGACGCTCTCGATGGTGCAGTGGTAGTATTTGGAGAGGACCTGGGTTGGTATGCCGAATTTCTTCAGCCGTCTTAGGAAGTAGAGATGCTGTTGCGCCCTCTTGACAAGAGTGGTGGTGTTGTTGGTCCATGTCATGTCATCTGTGATGTGGACACTGAGGAACTTAAAACTGTTGACTCTCTCTACTGCAGTCCCGTTGATGTGGATCGTGGCATGTTCACTCCTCTGTTTCCTGAAGTCTACAAACAACTCCTTTGTTTTGCTGACATTGAGGAAGAGCTTGTTGTCCTGGCAATTCCAGTTCACTTACCTCCTCCCTATAGGCTGACTCGTCGTTGTTGGTTATCAGGCCTACAACAGTGGTGTCATCAGCAAACTTGATGATGGAGTTGGTGTTGTGCAAAGCCATGCAGTCGTGGGTGAACAGGGAGTACAGTAGAGGGCTGAGGACACACCCCTGCGAGGCCCCTGTGTTAAGAGTCAATGTGGAGGAGGTGTTGTTGCCAATCCTCACAGCCTGTGGTCAGGAAGTCCAGAATCCAGTTGCAGAGGGTGCTGTCCAGACCCAGGGCTCTGAGCTGGGTGTCGAGGTTGGAGGAACAATAGTGTTAAATGCTGAACTGTAGTCAATGAACAGCATTCTCACATAGGTGTTCCTCTTGTCCAGATGTGTTACGGCCGTGTGAATAGTGATGGAAATGGCATCTTCCGTGGATCTGTTGGAGCGGTAGGCAGATTGGAGTGGCTCCAGTGGGCCTGGCATGCTGGCCTTGATGTGGGCCATGACCAGCCTCTTGAAGCACTTCATGGGCTTGTTTTTCTTGGGCTGTGGGAAGATGGTGGTCTCCTTGAAGCAGGTGGGGACTACAGCCTGGGACAGGAACAGGTTGAGATTTTTCCTCACGTCAACCTCGGAGAATGAAAGCACATGGTCATCCAGAGCAGCGAGAGTCTTCCTGGATGGCTCGGTATTGTCTGCCTCTAAGCGAGCATAGAATGTGTTAAACTCGTCTGGAAGGGAGGCTTCGGTGGGCACCATACAGCTGGATTTGCGAGTCTGAGTTGTCAAACATCAATTGAAGTTTGAGTCTGTCTTTTTGCGTCCCTAATGGATTTACAGAGCTCGTACCGGCTTGCCTTGAACGTGTCGCGCGCCGCCGAGTCATCGGGGTTCGTTCTGCTGACATTGAAATTATGCAGTACAGGCTCTCAGCATGGTACGGATATCTCTGTTCATCCAGGGTTTTTGGTTGGGGTATGTCTGGATTGTTATTGTGGGTACAACATCATCAACACATTTCCTAATGAAGCCTGTGACTGATTATCTATATTCCTCCATGTTGAAGGATGAGTCCTGGGTGGATGAATCTTTGAACATACAGTGCATTTGGAAAGTATTCAGACCCCTTGACTTTTTCCACATTTTGTTACGTTACAGCCTTATTCTAAAATGGATTAAACCGTTTTCCCCCCCTCATCAATCTACAAACAATGCCCCATAATGAAATAGCAAAAACAAGGTTTTTAGAAATTTTTGCAAATGTGTAAAAAACATTCTACTGAAATATCACATTTACATAAGTATTCAGACCCTTCACTCAGTACTTTGATGAAGCACCTTTGGCAGCGATTACAGCCTCGAGTCTTCTTGGATATGACGCTACAAGCTTGGCACACCTGTATTTGGGGAGTTTCTCCCATTCTTCTCTGCAGATCCTCTCAAGCTCTGTCAGGTTGGATGGGGAGCGTCGCTTCAAGTCCGGGCTCTGGCTGGCCACTCAAGGACATATTCAGACTTGTCACAAAGCCACTCAAAATCAAATCAAATCAAATTTTATTGGTCACATGCGCCGAATACAACAGGTGCAGACATTACAGTGAAATGCTTACTTACAGCCCTTAACCAACAGTGCATTTATTTTAAACAAAAAGTAAGAATAAAACAACAACAAAAAAGTGTTGAGAAAAAAAAAGAGCAGAAGTAAAAATAAAGTGACAGTAGGGAGGCTATATATACAATAGAATAAAGTGACAGTAGGGAGGCTATATATACAGGGGGGTACCGTTGCATAGTCAATGTGCGGGGGCACCGGCTAGTTGAGGTAATATGTACATGTGGGGTAGAGTTAAAGTGACTATGCATAAATACTTAACAGAGTAGCAGCAGCGTAAAAAGGATGGGGTGGGGGGGCAGTGCAAATAGTCCGGGTAGCCATGATTAGCTGTTCAGGAGTCTTATGGCTTGGGGGTAGAAGCTGTTGAGAAGTCTTTTGGACCTAGACTTGGCACTCCGGTACCGCTTGCCGTGCGGTAGCAGAGAGAACAGTCTATGACTAGGGTGACTGGAGTCTTTGACAATTTTGAGGGCCTTCCTCTGACACCGCCTGGTATAGAGGTCCTGGATGGCAGGGAGCTTTGCCCCAGTGATGTACTGGGCCGTACGCACTACCCTCTGTAGTGCCTTGCGGTCAGAGGCCAAGCAGTTGCCATACCAGGCGGTGATGCAACCAGTCAGGATGCTCTCGATGGTGCAGCTGTAGAATTTTTTGAGGATCTGAGGACCCATGCCAAATCTTTTTAGTCTCCTGAGGGGGAATAGGCTTTGTCGTGCCCTCTTCACGACTGTCTTGGTGTGTTTGGACCATGATAGTTCGTTGGTGATGTGGACACCAAGGAACTTGAAGCTCTCAACCTGTTCCACTACAGCCCCGTCGATGAGAATGGGGGCGTGCTCAGTCCTCTTTTTTTTCCTGTAGTCCACAATCATCTCCTTTGTCTTGGTCACGTTGAGGGAGAGGTTGTTGTCCTGGCACCACACGGCCAGATCTCTGACCTCCTCCCTATAGGCTGTCTCATCGTTGTCGGTGATCAGGCCTACCACTGTTGTGTCGTCGGCAAACTTAATGATGGTGTTGGAGTCGTGCCTGGCCATGCAGTCATGGGTGAACAGAGAGTACAGGAGGGGACTGAGCACGCACCCCTGAGGGGCCCCCGTGTTGAGGATCAGTGTGGCAGATGTGTTGTTACCTACCCTTACCACCTGGGGGCGGCCCGTCAGGAAGTCCAGGATCCAGTTGCAGAGGGAGGTGTTTAGTCCCAGGATCCTTAGCTTAGTGATGAGCTTTGAGGGCACTATGGTGTTGAATGCTGAGCTGTAGTCAATGAATAGCATTCTCACGTAGGTGTTCCTCTTGTCCAGGTGGGAAAGGGCAGTGTGGAGTGCGATAGAGATTGCATCATCTGTGGATCTGTTGGGGCGGTATGCAAATTGGAGTGGGTCTAGGGTTTCTGGGATTATGCTGTTGATGTGAGCCATGACCAGTCTTTCAAAGCACTTCATGGCTACAGACGTCAGTGCCACGGGTCGGTAGTCATTTAGGCAGGTTATCTTAGAGTTCTTGGGCACGGGGACTATGGTGGTCTGCTTGAAGCATGTTGGTATTACAGACTCAGTCAGGGACATGTTGAAAATGTCAGTGAAGACACTTGCCAGTTGGTCAGCACATGCTCGGAGTACACGTCCTGGTAATCCGTCTGGCCCTGCGGCCTTGTGAATGTTGACCTGCTTAAAAGTCTTACTCACATCGGCTACGGAGAGCGTGATCACATAGTCGTCCGGAACAGCTGGTGCTCTCATGCATGCTTCAGTGTTGCTTGCCTCGAAGCGAGCATAGAAGTGGTTTAGCTCGTCTGGTAGGCTTGTGTCACTGGGCAGCTCGCGGCTGTGCTTCCCTTTGTAGTCTGTAATAGTTTTCAAGCCCTGCCACATCCGACGAGCGTCAGAGCCAGTGTAGTATGATTCAATCTTAGACCTGTATTGACTCTTTGCCTGTTTGATGGTTCGTCGGAGGTCATAGCGGGATTTCTTATAAGCGTCCGGGTTAGAGTCCCGTTCCTTGAAAGCGGCAGCTCTACCCTTTAGCTCAGTGCGGATGTTTCCTGTAATCCATGGCTTCTGGTTGGGGTATGTACGTACGGTCACTGTGGGGACGACATCATCGATGCACTTATTGATGAAGCCAGTGACTGATGTGGTGTACTCCTCAATGCTGTCTGAAGAATCCCTGAACATGTTCCAGTCTGTGCTAGCAAAACAGTCCTGTAGCTTAGCATCTGCGTCATCTGACCACTTTTTTATTAGCCGAGTCACTGGTGCTTCCTGCTTCAGTTTTTGCTTATAAGCAGGAATCAGGAGGATAGAGTTATGGTCAGATTTGCCAAATGGAGGGCGAGGGAGAGCTTTGTATGCGTCTCTGTGTGTGGAGTAAAGGTGGTCTAGAGTTTTTTCCCCTCTGGTTGCACATTTAACATGCTGGTAGAAATGAGGTAGAACGGATTTAAGTTTCCCTGCATTAAAGTCCCCTGCTACTAGGAGCGCTGCATCTGGATGAGCGTTTTCCTGTTGATTAATGGCCTTGTACAACTCATTCAGTGCAATCTTAATGCCAGCATTGGTTTGTGGTGGTAAATAGACAGCTATGAAAAGTATAGATGAAAACTCTCTTGGTAAATAGTGTGGTCTACAGCTTATCATAAGATACTCTACCTCAGGCGAGCAAAACCTTGAGACTTCCTTAGTATTTGATTTTGTGCACCAGCTGTTGTTTACAAAAATACAGAGACCGCCACCCCTCGTCTTACCCGAGTCTGCCGTTCTGTCCTGCCGATGTAGCGTATAGCCTGCTAGCTGAATGTTGTCATTGTTGTCATTCAGCCACGACTCCGTGAAACATAAGATATTACAGTTTTTAATGTCCCGTTGGTAGGATAACCGTAATCTTAAATCGTCCATTTTATTATCCAAAGCTTGAACGTTGGCTAATAGGATTGATGGGAGAGGCAGTTTACTCGTTCGCCGTCGGATCTTTACAAGGCACCCCGACCTACGTCCACGGTATCTCCGTCTCTTCCTCACGCGAATGACGGGGATCTGGGCCTTGTCTGGAGTCTGTAGAATATCCTTCGCAAACGCCTCGTTGAAAAAAAAGTGTTCGTCCAACGCGAGGTGAGTAATCGCCTGCATTGTCTTGGCTGTGTGCTTAGGGTTGTTGTCCTGTTGGAAGGTGAACCTTCGCCCCAGTCTGAGGTCCTGAACGCTCTGGAGCAGCTTTTCATCAAGGATCTCTCTGTACTTTGCTCCGTTCATCTTTCCCTCGATCCTGACTTGTCTCCCAGTCCCTTCCGCTGACAAACATCCCCACAGCATGATACTGTCACCACCATGCTTTACTGTAGGGATGGTGCCAGGTTTCCTCCAGAAGTGACGCTTGGCATTCAGGCCAAAGAGTTCAATCTTGGTTTCATCAGACCAGAGAATCTTGTTTCTCATGGTCAGAGTCCTTTAGGTACCTTTTGGCAAACTCCAAGCGGGCTGTCATGTGCCTTTTACTGAGGAGTGGCTTCCTTCTGGCCACTCTACCATAAAGGCCTGATTGGTGGAGTGCTGCAGAGATGGTTGTACTTCTGGAAGGTTCTCCCATCTCCACAGAGGAATTCTGGAGCTCTGTCAGAGTGACCATCAGGTTCTTGGTCACCTCCCTGACCAAGGCCCTTCTCCCCCGATTGCTCAGTTTGCCGGGCGGCCAGCTCTAGGAAGAGTCTTGTTGTCACAGCTGCCCCTGCGCCAGGCTGCCCATCATTACGCACACCTGTCACCATCGTTACGCACATCAGCGCTTCATTGGACTCACCTGAACTTCATCACTGCTTGGTTACCTCCCTTATATCTGTCTGTTCCTCAGTTTGATCCCGGTGTCTGCATTAATGTTGTTTCGTTTCCGTTGTCCAGACGCTATCTGTGTTTTGTTCCTGTCAGTTTTTTTCATTCAATGTTCACTCCCTGTACTTGCTTCTCGTTTCCCAGCGTCTGTCCTTACACTTGGTGGTTCCAAACTTCTTCCATTTAAGAATGATGGAGGCCACTGTGTTCTTGGGGACCTTCGATGCTGCAGAAATGTTTTGGTACCCTTCCCTAGATCTGTGCCTCGACACAAACCTTTTCTCTGAGCTCTACCAACAATTCCTTCGACCTCATGGCTTGGTTTTTTCTCTGACATGCACTGTCAACTGTGGGACCTTATATAGACAGGTGTGTGCCTTTCCAAATCATGTCCAATCAATTGAATTTACCACAGGTGGACACCAATCAAGTTGTAGAAACATCTCAAGGATGATCAATGGAAACAGGATGCACCTGAGCTCAATTTCGAATCTCATAGCAAAGGGTCTGAGTACTTATGTAAATAAGGTATTTCTATTCTTTATTTGTAATACATTTGCAAAAATTTCTAAAAACCTGTTTTTTCTTTGTTATTATGGGGTATTGTGTGTAGATTGATGAAGGAAAAAATGAATTTAATCAATTTTAGAATAAAGCTGTAAAGTAACAAAATGTGAAAAAAGGGAAGAGGTCTGAATATTTTCTGAATGCACTGTATTCCAATAAGTATTCTTAAGAGTCCTGCAGCATTGAGCCTGCCTCCTCTGTCCAGCGCCTCACCTTTCTCTGTGTTGGAGACGTTTTCAGACGAATAAGAAATATTTTGGGGTAACTAGTTATTTGCAGTTTCTGTGTACTTTTTGTTCAATCAAGCACCTAGAAAATGTTGCTGTGAGTGTGTGCATTAAAGCCTGGGACCTGATGACTTGCGTTTGTTCCCCGTGCTATTGCCAAGGCTTTAGCTCAGTGGGCTTGACAGTCTTGTGGTAGGGCTGTCCCCGACAAAAATAAATATTGTCTGATGCTTTAAGCACTGCAGTTAAAAATGAAGACACACAAATTACTAAAGAGGGAGCCAGAGATCAATATATCCATGAACTGCCACTTCAGAGAACAGAAATCGAATTATATATTCATTTATGTATTTATTTAACCTTTATTTAACCGATGAACTCTTAAGGTTGGTTGAAGACACACAAATTGAGTTATCTAACCTGAATTGTTTCTATAGGTTCACCCTCACAAAGACGGGATGGATATTTTCATTAGTGCAATGTCTCTCCACCTATATATTAATTATTTCATATTTCATCATCATAATCATATTTGGTCACTTAGAAAGTATTTTGCCAAATGCTATTGTAATGTAATTATAGTGATGTAATATCATTATTAGCACTTGAGTGAGTATGCACACACAAGCTTGCGCACACACAGACACCCGCACACACATTATACTTGCAGGAGAGGGTAAGCTGTGTTATTAACACATTGGAGCCATGGCAGGTGTGTGGGTTATCCTGGTGCTACTAAAGGCTGCCTCTTATTAATAGATCATTCCTCTGCGTGTGTGTGTGTTTCCTACGTTGGGAAGGACATTAAAACCCTCTGTCACGCTCTGGCTCCGGGACTGTGTATTTTGAGCCAGGGTGTGTTCATTTGGTTGTGTTTGGTATTGGTTGTGTTGTATTTGGTTGTGTTTCCTTGTTTGGTCGTGTGACTCCCAATCAGTGGTAACGAGTGTCAGCTGTCGGCTCGTTATCTCTGATTGGGAGCCATATTTAAACTGTCAGTGTTCACCTTAGTGTTGTGGGTTTTTGTTCCGTATCAGTCATTGTAACTGAGGACTTCACGATTCGTCATTGTTTGTTGTTTTTGTATTGAGTACTTTAATTAAATAAAGTCATGTTCGTATCGCACACTGCGCCTTGGTCCACTCACTTAACCAACGATCGTGACAGAAAAACCCACCTTAACCAGATCAAGCAGCGTGACGAGGAGAGAGGATGGACGTGGGAGGAGATGATTGCGAGTCTGGCAAGAGGGAGAGAGGCCTGGGCCACGGGGAGGAGAGACCCCCAGGAAATTTTTAGGGGGGGGCTCACGACGTCGGGGCAGCAGGTGTACGGGTTAGAGCGGTGCAAAGCGTTGGCAGAGAAGGCCGCCAGGTTAGGGGGGCCACTGGGCACAGAGGAGAGGGAAAGTGTGGAGGCACGGCGAGAGGTACTGGGGTGTGTTACCAGTCCGGTCCGGCCCGTTCCTGATCCCTGCGTGGGGCCAGTGGTGTGTGTCCCCAGTACGGTCCGGCCTGTTCCTGCCATTCCCACCAAGGCAGTGGTGCGCGTCGTCAGCCCAGCCCGGCCTGTTCCTGCCATTCCCACCAAGTCTGTGGTGTGCGTCGACAGCCCGGCCCGGCCTGTTCCTGCCATTCCCACCAAGTCAGTGGTGCGCGTCGTCAGCCCAGCCCGGCCTGTTCCTGCCATTCCCACCAAGTCAGTGGTGCACGTCGTCAGCCCAGCCCGGCCGGTTCCTGCCATTCCCACCAAGTCAGTGGTGTGCGTCGACAGCCCAGCCCGGCCTGTCCCTGCTCCACGCACCAAGCCTACGAGGTGCGTCGCCAGTCCAGCCCGGCCTGTCCCTGCTCCACGCACAAAGCCTACGGTGTGCGTCGCCAGCCCAGCCCGGCCTGTTCCTGCTCCACGCACAAAGCCTACGGTGTGCGTCGCCAGCCCAGCCCGGCCTGTCCCTGCTCCACGCACAAAGCCTACGGTGTGCGTCGCCAGCCCAGCCCGGCCTGTTCCTGCTCCACGCACAAAGCCTACGGTGTGCGTCGCCAGCCCAGCCCGGCCTGTCCCTGCTCCACGCACAAAGCCTACGGTGTGCGTCGCCAGCCCAGCCCGGCCTGTCCCTGCTCTACGCACAAAGCCTACGGTGTGCGTCGTCGGCCTGGTCCAGCCCGTTCCTGCTACTCGCACCAAGCCAAGGGTGCGAGTCGTCAGCCTGGTCCAGCCCGTCCCTGCTCCACGCACTAGGTCCACGGTGTGCGTCGCCGGCCCAACCCGGCCTGTTCCTGCCACTCGCACCAAGCCAAGGGTGCGAGTCGTCAGCCGGATTCAGCCTGTTCCTGCCACTCGCACCAAGTCAAGGGTGCGAGTCGTCAGCCGGATTCAGCCCATTCCTGCTACTCGCACCAAGCCAAGGGTGCGAGTCGTCAGCCGGATTCAGCCCATTCCTGCTACTCGCACCAAGCCAGGGATGCGAGTCTTCAGCCTGGTGAGGCCTGTTCCGGCTCCACGCACCATGCAAAGGGTGCGTATCGTCTGCCAGGTCCGGTCCATTCCTGCCTCACGCGCCAAGCCAGGGGTGCGCGTCGGCAGTCCTGATCCAGCTAACTGGGTCAGATCGGACTGGGGGCACTACGGGGGGATTGTAGTAGGGTGGTGGTCAAGCCCGGAGCCGGAGCCGCCTCCGAGGAGCAACACCCACCCAGCCCTCCCCTATTTGGGGTGTAGGCGCGGTCGGAGTCCGCGCCTTTAGGGGGGGGGTACTGTCACGCTCTGGCTCCGGGACTGTGTATTTTGAGCCAGGGTGTGTTCATTTGGTTGTGTTTGGTATTGGTTGTGTTGTATTTGGTTGTGTTTCCTTGTTTGGTCGTGTGACTCCCAATCAGTGGTAACGAGTGTCAGCTGTCGGCTCGTTATCTCTGATTGGGAGCCATATTTAAACTGTCAGTGTTCACCTTAGTGTTGTGGGTTTTTGTTCCGTATCAGTCATTGTAACTGAGGACTTCACGATTCGTCATTGTTTGTTGTTTTTGTATTGAGTACTTTAATTAAATAAAGTCATGTTCGTATCGCACGCTGCGCCTTGTTCCACTCACTTAACCAACGATCGTGACACCCTCCAGATACAACTCCTCTCCTCACAGAGGCCCCTTCAGTTGTCGTTTGACCTTGAATTAGAATCCTATTAATTCTGTCAGGCCCTTAAAGGAAATTTTCATCTGAATGATTGAGAAAGAGGGAGGCGATGTTGTTGGCATCAGTGTACTCTGAAAGAGAGAGGAGGAGAGAGGGCAACGTGGTGTGAGTGCATAATGTCCAAATGTAGTCAGTTCAGGCTTGGTGACTCATGCATTTGCCAACGTAGTCAGCTAATTCCTGCCTAATAAGTCACAATTACTCATCGTTAGAGCTCATGTTACAGTAGTGCTCAGGGTTACTCTCAGTGGGAACTAAGTATTGGTGTGTGTCTGTGTGAGAGTGTATGTGAGAGAAGGGGTGTGATGTTATTTTGGTTTGTGATAAGTTCTCTAATGAACCCAGAGTGTGATGGTCACATGACTGACACACACACGCACGCACGCACGCACACTGCTCTCTAACCAAGCCTATTTCCCCTGTGTTCCCCTCTGTAGGAGTGTGGTTTCAGCCACTCGTGGTACCTGTCAGTGTTCAGTGTGCTGTGCTGTCTGGGCATCATTCTGTGTCTGGTCACCTCTGTGGCCGTAGAGTGGACAGGACTGAGAGTGGCCAAAGAACTACACCACAACCTGCTCAGCAAGATCATACTGGCACCTATGAGGTGTGTGTGTGTGTGTGTGTGTGAATCATGTGCCTTTCATGGTACCTATTACTTCTCGAGAGAGCAGGGTGTGTGTGTGTGTGTGTGTATGATGCATTGGTGTGTGTGTGTGTGTGTGTGTGTGTGTGTGTGTGTGTGTGTGTGTGTGTGTGTGTGTGTGTGTGTAACAATTGATCATCCTGGGGCCTGAGTTGAGACACTGTATACATTGTGATCCACCCCATTACCCAGAGGTCCATCTGCCTTCCACACACTGAAACCACGGTGATGCCAGCGCAGTGCCAGATCACAGATAATTAAGGACCTTGTGGTCAGGGCTCTGTAATGAACCCTTTTAGATGAGGTGACGGCCAAGAAGAATAATCACTTTCATTGTTTTCAAATGTAATTCCTTGCAACCCTCAGAGGAATAGAATTTGTAACAGAAACATTGATGATATACCAGCAGCTTTATCCTTCCACTTGAGGTTGTACATATAGGACAGTAAAAAGCTTAAAAATATGATCTTTCAGGTACAGTAATGTAAGATATGAAACTGTGGTGTAGTTAGTCTGTGTGGTTGTCTCTTTCAGGCTGTTTGAGACCACTCCCCTGGGCAACATCCTCAACAGGTTCTCCTCTGACACCAACACTATAGACCAGGTATTGCTCCACCACCCCTCTATGTGTGTTAACACTAGAAGTAGCCACAACCATACTGAGTTGGAACTTTCGAAGTCTATGAATCTCAAATAGAGTTTCATATTTTTCTTCACGGTTTTGGAAGTAGCTACAGTCTGTGAACCCTTTGGTTGCTTTTCCTGGTAGATGGTAGTAATGTAATGTTTTATTGGTGGCTGTGTCCCCAGCACATTCCTGCCACCTTGGAGTGTCTGAGTCGTTCCACCCTGCTGTGTGTGTCGGCGCTGGGGGTTATCTCCTATGTGACCCCTGTGTTCCTCATCGCCCTGGTGCCCCTGGCCATCGCCTGCTACTTCATACAGAAGTACTTCCGGGTCGCCTCCAGGTGAGCACTTGGTTTGGGAAGTTTATTTTTTTGTCTCTGTCACTTGTTTTGCTTCAGTTGATCAGTTTATTCAAAGGGCAGTGTTCTCATCAGGACTAGTTACAGTATGTCTCCCCTTTTCTCTATCTCCTCTCTCTCTCTCTCTCTCTCTCTCTCTCTCTCTCTCTCTCTCTCTCTCCCTACTCGCTCCTCCCCTCCCCTCTCTCTCCCCCTCCTCCCCTCCCCTCTCCTCTCTCTCCCCCTCCCCCCTCCCCTCTCTCTCCTCCCTCTCTCTCTGGTCAGGGACCTCCAGCAGTTGGAGGATAGTACCCAGCTCCCCCTCCTGTCCCACTTCTCAGAGACAGTGGAGGGCCTCACCACCATCCGGGCATTCAGGTAAAGATGTTTTAAACAACATTTTGACAGGGACCAGCTAGGTGGTTGTGTGTTTCTCCACTTAAACGTATTACTCTGTGATGGTCTCTCCTCCAGGTATGAGCCCAGGTTCAGACAGAGGTTACTGGAGTACACTGATGCCAACAATATCGCCTCCCTCTTTCTCACAGCAGCCAATCGCTGGCTAGAGGTCCGCATGGTAATGAGATCTACTCTATAATGTATTCTACTCTACTAAACTTTTTTGTCTGGTGCTGTATCCAAGGCATGGTTCATGTTGATCAAGTTATTACGTCTGCTCACATTCTATTGGGTGACTGCTCCCGCTATGGGAATTTTGAATATGACAGGATTATATGGATTTATACTGAGCATTTTTGTATTTCTATTTGACTATATAGTTATCTGTGTATTTCTCTCTATAGAGTATATATATTTGTGTGTGGTGACTATGTATGCTGTTTCGCTATAGGAGTATATAGGAGCCTGTGTGGTTCTGATCGCAGCCGTGGCCTCCATCACCAACTCTCTATACAACCACCTCTCCACTGGCCTAGTGGGACTAGGACTCACCTACGCACTCATGGTGAGGACCGCTCTGGGGGGTGTGTGTGTGTGTGTGTGTGTGTGTGTGTGTGTGTGTGTGTGTGCATGTGTGTGTGTCTAAGGTCAAAGATCTAATGTAGTCACACATTTCTTGATGAAAGACAGGTTGAGTTGCCTGACTACCTGTCCACATGGCTCCGGCCAAATGCCACGCCCACTAGTGTTTCTTCTCCATGATGAGTCTGGATTTGATCTCCCTGACGTCTTACAGAATGGAGCACATTCTGACCGTTTTGATTGGTCCCAGAAACCGATGGGTTGGGCCAAAGCCAGCCTACATGATGACGTCATCAACTTTGATACTCTGATTGGTTAGATTTGTTAGAGACGATCCAATTGCTGATGAATTTGAAATCTGCACAAACGATTTCTAGGATGGCAGTTTCAGACTGAATTTACTGAACAATCGATAGAGCAGCTGAATTCAGAATGAGTCGTCAGGCAAGAGGTTGAGGCTCTAAACCAGTGAAACCTCTCTCCTCTCCTTCCTGTTACAGTAACTGTCTGTCACGTCTATAATGATGTTGTCTCGTCTGTCTGTGTCTCTGTGTCCCAGGTATCTAACTACCTGAACTGGATGGTGCGTAACCTGGCAGACATGGAGGTTCAGCTGGGTTCAGTCAAGAGGATCAACGGCCTGCTGAAGACTGAGCCTGAGAACTATGAGGGACTGATGGGTTAGTACAGTACCACCTCTTAGCTCCAGACATAACTCTAACCCTAGTACAGTACTACCTCTTAGCTCCAGACATAACTCTAACCCTAGTACAGTACTACCTCTTAGCTCCAGACATAACTCTAACCCTAGTACAGTACTACCTCTTAGCTCCAGACATAACTCTAACCCTAGTACAGTACCACCTCTTAGCTCCAGACCCAAACCCTAACCCTAGCTTCATTTCCACATCCCGGTTCAATCCAAACCCTAGCTCCAGCCGTAACCCAAACCCTAACCCTAGCTTCATGTCCACATCCCAGTTCAACCCTTACTCTAACCCTAGCTCCAGCCACAACCCTAACCCTAGCTTATTGTCCACATCCCAGTTCAATCCTTACTCTAACCCTAGCTCCAGCCACAACCCTAACCCTAGCTTCATGTCCACATCCCAGTTCAACCCTTACTCTAACCCTAGCTCCAGCCACAACCCAAACCCTAACCCTAGCTTCATGTCCACATCCCAGTTCAACCCTTACTCTAACCCTAGCTCCAGCCACAACCCCAACCCTAGCCTCAAACACAACCCTAGCCACAAAGACAACCCTAACCCTAGCTCCAGCCCAAACTGGGTAGCTCTGGCTCAATTTAACTGCTGCCTATGTCCCAGGCATGCTAGTGTGGTCCTGGATAATGAAGTTATAGCTGGAATCTATGTTCGCTTGCGATATTACAACAACAAAGAAGTTACTGCAAACAACAAACACTTTTGTCCCCTCTGACATCATTGCACGCTTGATATAATTTGTTTTGCCATGCTGCGCAACGCTCCTCAGCTCTTTAGCGGAGGCCAGCAGTGCTGTTTTCCCCTACTACTCCCTCTCTCTGTCCATCTCACCTGTCTCTCCCTCTCTCTGTCCATCTCACCTGTCTCTCCCTCTCTCTGTCCATCTCACCTGTCTCTCCCTCTCTCTGTCCATCTCACCTGTCTCTCCCTCTCTCTGTCCATCTCACCTGTCTCTCCCTCTCTCTGTCCATCTCACCTGTCTCTCCCTCTCTCTGTCCATCTCACCTGTCTCTCCCTCTCTCTGTCCATCTCACCTGTCTCTCCCTCTCTCTGTCCATCTCACCTGTCTCTTCATTTCTCTGTCTGTCTCACCTGTCTCTCCCTCTCATTCCATGTCTCTCCCTCCCTCTAGCTGCATCTCAGGTGCCGGATGGCTGGCCAAGGCAGGGAGAAATTCAGATCCAGAACCTGAGTGTGCGTTACGACACCACCCTGAAACCTGTCCTCAAACAAGTCAACGCACACATCAGCCCTGGACAGAAGGTAACATACAGTCACACAGAATGAAAGGGGGAGTGAGCAAGAAAAGTAAAATGAAGGAAATATACTGTAGCCAACGAAAGGCAGCGTAGAGCAGTTTATGTGGTGATAGTGATGATGATGATGATGATGATGATGAAGATGATGTGTCATCAAACAGACTTTCTTACTGTGGTTTCCAGGTGGGGATCTGTGGTAGGACAGGAAGTGGGAAGTCTTCTTTCTCCTTGGCCTTCTTCCGCATGGTCGACATGTTCGAGGGTAAACACTGCCAAAATGTTTGATTGGACTTAGTTTTATAATTATTTGTTTAAAAAATTTAGGGGGTGTATCAGCTTTAATATTGCAGATAGATTGTAGCTTCCTTCAATGTAATTGTCGGCATCATTTCTAATCCACCATATATATTTTTTAAATATATATATACAGTGGGGAAAAAAAGTATTTAGTCAGCCACCAATTGTGCAAGTTCTCCCACTTAAAAAGATGAGAGAGGCCTGTAATTTTCATCATAGGTACACATCAACTATGACAGATAAAATGAGAATTTTTTTCTCCAGAAAATCACATTGTAGGATTTTTTCTGAATTTATTTGCAAATTATGGTGGAAAATAAGTATTTGGTCAATAACAAAAGTTTCTCAATACTTTGTTATATACCCTTTGTTGGCAATGACACAGGTCAAACGTTTTCTGTAAGTCTTCACAAGGTTTTCACACACTGTTGCTGGTATTTTGACCCATTCCTCCATGCAGATCTCCTCTAGAGCAGTGATGTTTTGGGGCTGTCGCTGGGCAACACAGACTTTCAACTCCCTCCAAAGATTTTCTATGGGGTTGAGATCTGGAGACTGGCTAGGCCACTCCAGGACCTTGAAATGCTTCTTACGAAGCCACTCCTTCGTTGCCCGGGCGGTGTGTTTGGGATCATTGTCATGCTGAAAGACCCAGCCACGTTTCATCTTCAATGCCCTTGCTGATGGAAGGAGGTTTTCACTCAAAATCTCACGATACATGGCCCCATTCATTCTTTCCTTTACACGGATCAGTCGTCCTGGTCCCTTTGCAGGAAAACAGCCCCAAAGCATGATGTTTCCACCCCCATGCTTCACAGTAGGTATGGTGTTCTTTGGATGCAACTCAGCATTCTTTGTCCTCCAAACACGACGAGTTGAGTTTTTACCAAAACATTCTATTTTGGTTTCATCTGACCATATGACATTCTCCCAATCCTCTTCTGGATCATCCAAATGCACTCTAGCAAACTTCAGACGGGCCTGGACATGTACTGGCTTAAGCAGGGGGACACGTCTGGCACTGCAGGATTTGAGTCCCTGGCGGCGTAGTGTGTTACTGATGGTAGGCTTTGTTACTTTGGTCCCAGCTCTCTGCAGGTCATTCACTAGGTCCTCCCGTGTGGTTCTGGGATTTTTGCTCACTGTTCTTGTGATCATTTTGACCCCACGGGGTGAGATCTTGCGTGGAGCCCCAGATCGAGGGAGATTATCAGTGGTCTTGTATGTCTTCCATTTCCTAATAATTGCTCCCACAGTTGATTTCTTCAAACCAAGCTGCTTACCTATTGCAGATTCAGTCTTCCCAGCCTGGTGCAGGTCTACAATTTTGTTTCTGGTGTCCATTGACAGCTCTTTGGTCTTGGCCATAGTGGAGTTTGGAGTGTGACTGTTTGAGGTTGTGGACAGGTGTCTTTTATACTGATAACAAGTTCAAACAGGTGCCATTAATACAGGTAACGAGTGGAGGACAGAGGAGCCTCTTAAAGAAGAAGTTACAGGTCTGTGAGAGCCAGAAATCTTGCTTGTTTGTAGGTGACCAAATACTTATTTTCCACCATAATTTGCAAATAAATTCATTAAAAATCCTACAATGTGATTTTCTGGATTTATTTTTCTCAATTTGTCTGTCATAGTTGACGTGTACCTATGATGAATATTACAGGCCTCTCTCATCTTTTTAAGTGGGAGAACTTGCACAATTGGTGGCTGACTAAATACTTTTTTCCCCCACTGTATATATATACATTTAAATATACATACATACATACAAATACAAAACACCAGACTCAATGTCAACAGTGAAGAGGCGACTCCGGGATGCTGACCTTCTAGGCAGAGTTTTGCGCGTACTATTTAATGAATCTGCCAGTTGAGGACCTGTGAGGCGCCTGTTTCTCAAACTAGACACTCTAATGTGTTTGTCCTCTTGCTCAGTTGTGCACCGGGGCCTCCCACTCCACTTTCTATTCTGGTTAGAGCCAGTTTGCGCTGTTCTGTGAAGGGAGTAGTACACAGCGTTGTACGAGATCTTCAGTTTCTTGGTAATTTCTCAAATGGAATAGCCTTCATTTCTCAGAACAAGAATAGACTGACGAGTTTCAGAAGAAAGTTATTTGTTTCTGGCCATTTGAGCCTGTAATCGAACCCACAATTGCTGATGCTCCAGATATTCAACTAGTCTCAAGAAGGCCAGTTTTATTGCTTGTTTAATCAGCACAACAGTTTTCAGCTGTGCTAACATAATTGTAAAAGGGTTTTCTAATGATCAATTAGCCTTTTAAAATGATAAACTTGGATTAGCAAACACAACGTGTGATTGGAACACAGGACTGATGGTTGCTGATAATGGGCCTCTGTACGCCTATGTAGATATTCCATAAAAAATCAGCAGTTTCCAGCTACAATAGCCATTTACAACATTACCAATGTCTACACTGTATTTCTGATCTATTTTATGTTCTTTTAATGGACAAAAAAATTGCTTACAAAATTATTCTACAATGTAAAAAATAGTAAAAATAAAGAAAAACAACACTCAGGCTTCTACTTCCAGCTTATACATACTACACTGCTCAAAAAAATAAAGGGAACACTTAAACAACACAATATAACTCCAAGTCAATCACACTTCTGTGAAATCAAACTGTCCACTTAGGAAGCAACACTGATTGACAATACATTTCACATGCTGTTGTGCAAATGGAATAGACAACAGGTGGAAATTATAGGCAATTAGCAAGACACCCCCAATAAAGGACTGGTTTTGCAGGTGGTGACCACAGACCACTTCTCAGTTCCTATGCTTCCTGGCTGATGTTTTGGTCACTTTTGAATGCTGGCGGTACTTTCACTCTAGTGGTAGCATGAGACGGAGTCTACAACCCACACAAGTGGCTCAGGTAGTGCAGCTCATCCAGGATGGCACATCAATGCGAGCTGTGGCAAGAAGGTTTGCTGTGTCTGTCAGCGAAGTGTCCAGAGCATGGAGGCGCTACCAGGAGACAGGCCAGTACATCAGGAGACGTGGAGGAGGCCGTAGGAGGGCAACAACCCAGCAGTAGGACTGCTACCTCCGCCTTTGTGCAAGGAGGAGCAGGAGGAGCACTGCCAGAGCCCTGCAAAATGACCTCCAGCAGGCCACAAATGTGCATGTGTCTGCTCAAACGGTCAGAAACAGACTCCATGAGGGTGGTATGAGGGCCCGACGTCCACAGGTGGGGGTTGTGCTTACAGCCCAACACCGTGCAGGACATTTGGCATTTGACAGAGAACACCAAGATTGGCAAATTCGCCACTGGCACCCTGTGCTCTTCACAGATGAAAGCAGGTTCACACTGAGCACGTGACAGACGTGACAGAGTCTGGAGACGCCGTGGAGAACGTTCTGCTGCCTGCAACATCCTCCAGCATGACCGGTTTGGCGGTGGGTCAGTCATGGTGTGGGGTGGCATTTCTTTGGGGGGCCGCACAGCCCTCCATGTGCTCGCCAGAGGTAGCCTGACTGCCATTAGGTACCGAGATGAGATCCTCAGACCCCTTGTGAGACCATATGCTGGTGCAGTTGGCCCTGGGTTCCTCCTAATGCAAGACAATGCTAGACCTCATGTGGCTGGAGTGTGTCAGCAGTTCCTGCAAGAGGAAGGCATTGATGCTATGGACTGGCCCGCCCATTCCCCAGACCTGAATCCAATTGAGCACATCTGAGACATCATGTCTCGCTCCATCCACCAACGCCACGTTGTACCACAGACTGTCCAGGAGTTGGCGGATGCTTTAGTCCAGGTCTGGGAGGAGATCCCTCAGGAGACCATCCGCCACCTCATCAGGAGCATGCCCAGGCGTTGTAGGGAGGTCATACAGGCACGTGGAGGCCACACACACTACTGAGCCTCATTTTGACTTGTTTTAAAGACATTACATTAAAGTTGGATCAGCCTGTAGTGTGGTTTTCCACTTTAATTTTGAGGGTTACTCCAAATCCAGACCTCCATGGGTTGATAAATTTGATTTCCATTGATAATTGTTGTGTGATTTTGCTGTCACCACATTCAACTATGTAAAGAAAAAAGTATTTAATAAGATTATTTCATTCATTCAGATCTAGGATGTGTTATTTTAGTGTTCCCTTAATTTTTTTGAGCAGTGTATATACCTTTTACGGACCCAATCTATTTTACAATAGTTATATTTTGTTTGTTTTTATTCCTGTCCTTCCTCTACCCTCAACCTCTCCCATCTATGTATGATCTCCATCCAGTTTTATTTCTCTTTGCCATATATTTTTAACTGTGCTGTTTCACAAAAGTTCTGAACCTATATACATTCTACAGACACAGTATATTTTATATTTGTTATCTTGTTGTTATTAGTCCCACCCTTGAGCTCCATTCAACTCCTCCCATCTATCTCTTAACACCATCCATTTGAATTTCTATTTGCGATATATTTTTCAACTGTGCTGCGGTGCTTCACAAAAGTTCTGAACATTTCTATTCTCATAGTTTCTACAGATTGTAAATTAAAGATAAACATTTTTACTAAAAGTATTATTATATTATTGATCAATTGACTATGATTTTTCAAATCACCCAGTATTGCTATCTGCAGCGTTAGCTCCAGGTAAATGTTGCAATTCTTCAGCCATTGAACATGCACCTGTGGAACGGACAGTACTACATATGGACAGTACCAAAATAAATGATCTAATGACTGTCTCTTTGAAGAAAAATCTGCAGAGCTGGGAAGGTTGTATCCCCCATATATATAACATTCTATTGGTTGCAAGAATTTTAATTGAAAAATTATACTTTTTGAATCTGGTGTTGTTTTGCGTATTAGTTCATAAACCATGTGCCATGGAATCGGTACATCAAAAATCGTAGGTTTATTGACAGGGTCATTTTAACATAGCTGGCCTTCTCTCCCAACAGGGCGTATCATCATCGATGACATTGACATTGCTAAGCTGCCTCTGCAGACTCTGAGGTCTAGATTCTCCATCATCCTCCAGGATCCCATCTTATTCAGCGGAACCATCCGGTAAGAGAACCCCCATACTACGGTTCCATCTAAATCAGTGTTCTTCTCTCCTGGTTCTGGAGGGGCAACAGTGTCTTCAGCATGGCTAGCACCATTACACATGATTCAATCAATAAACTCATCATCAAAACCTGGATTAGCTGATTCAGGTGTTTTAGGGCTGGGCTGGAACAAAAGCCTGTAGGACCAAGAGTGAAGAACATTGAGACAGCATATAGGAAGTTAAGCCAAAAGTATTGAGGTATTGAGAGTAATGCAGCGTTGTGCTCCCAGCAGCAGCCGCGCCACACTACCTAGTGTGAGTTGTTTTAGGAGGGCAATAGAGAGACGGAAGCTACTTGTAACTGGGTCAGTTGGCCGACTGTTGAAACTTCAGAGAGTGTCATTTTAGGAGGTGTCTGATAACCGGATGCATCTCGGAAAAATCCAACACCAGTCATTTATTTTTGGACCGCTCAAAGGCTTTATGTTTTAGATGCACCCAGCTAAATGAAAAGTCAACTCAGGACAAGCCCAAAATTCCAAAAAGAGAAACAGAAAAGTAATACAAGAAAGATGACTATGAATTAGATGAAATAATAGAAAACATCCTGGCAGTAAATAATGCATACTCCTTTGACACGGTACATGAGTGGGATTTGAAGTAGCAGGTTATACTGTATCAAATCCTACTGGTATATGTTATTAGAATGTACTACTGGTCCAGTCCAATGACCCTGTGGTAAGGAGTGTGTGTGTGTATTTGTGCGTGTGTGTGTGAGATCATCAGGTTTAACCTGGACCCAGAGATGAAGGCTACAGACGACATGCTGTGGGAGGCTCTGGAGATCGCTCAGCTCAAACCTGTAGTCAAGACCTTACCAGGAGGACTGGGTAAGGAGTGTGTGTGTGCGTGCGTGCATGCTCTGAAGTTCTAGCTTGTTTAGGTTGATGGAATTCTACATCGACTGAGGATGAAGGGTCACCATTATGTAGAATTATGTTGAATATACACTGCTCAAAAAAATTAAGGGAACACTTAAGCAACACAATGTAACTCCAAGTCAATCACACTTCTGTGAAATCAAACTGTCCACTTAGGAAGCAACACTGCTTGACAATAAATTTCACATGCTGTTGTGCAAATGGAATAGACAACAGGTGGAAATTATAGGCAATTAGCAAGACACCCCCAATAAAGGACTGGTTTTGCAGGTGGTGACCACAGACCACTTCTCAGTTCCTATGCTTCCTGGCTGATGTTTTGGTCAATTTTGAATGCTGGCGGTGCTTTCACTCTAGTGGTAGCATGAGACGGAGTCTACAACCCACACAAGTGGCTCAGGTAGTGCAGCTCATCCAGGATGGCACAATAATGCGAGCTGTGGCAAGAAGGTTTGCTGTGTCTGTCAGCGTAGTGTCCAGAGCATGGAGGCGCTACCAGGAGACAGGCCAGTACATCAGGAGACGTGGAGGAGGCCGTAGGAGGGCAACAACCCAGCAGCAGGACTGCTACCTCCGCCTTTGTGCAAGGAGGAGCAGGAGGAGCACTGCCAGAGCCCTGCAAAATGACCTCCAGCAGGCCACAAATGTGCATGTGTCTGCTCAAACGGTCAGAAACAGACTCCATGAGGGTGGTATGAGGGCCCGACGTCCACAGGTGGGGGTTGTGCTTACAGCCCAACACCGTGCAGGACGTTTGGCATTTGCCAGAGAACACCAAGATTGGCAAATTCGCCACTGGCGCCCTGTGCTCTTCACAGATGAAAGCAGGTTCACACTGAGCACATGTGACAGACGTGACAGAGTCTGGAGACGCCGTGGAGAACGTTCTGCTGCCTGCAACATCCTCCAGCATGACCGGTTTGGCGGTGGTCCAGGTCTGGGAGGAGATCCCTCAGGAGACCATCCGCCACCTCATCAGGAGCATGCCCAGACGTTGTAGGGAGGTCATACAGGCACGTGGAGGCCACACACACTACTGAGCCTCATTTTGACTTGTTTTAAGGACATTACATAAAAGTTGGATCAGCCTGTAGTGTGGTTTTCCACTTTAATTTTGAGGGTGACTCCAAATCCAGACCTCCATGGGTTGATACATTTGATTTCCATTGATAATTTTTGTGTGATTTTGTTGTCAGCACATTCAACTATATAAAGAAAAAAGTATTTAATAAGATTATTTCATTCATTCAGATCTAGGATGTGTTATTTTAGTGTTCCCTTTATTTTTTTGAGCAGTGTAATAATGAACTACATTCATCAATCTGACTCCATTATTATGTGAATAAATGCAACAGGCCCTGTACATCTCTGGAGGTTCTAATCAAGGTAGAGCCTTCTATCACCTCTCAGTATGACTATAATGAACATGTGTCTATCTTGCACCATTTGGCAATTATTAAGAGGCTGGATACAAATAGCTAATCCTGGCAACCAGTGTTCTAGCATTAATTTATTGAGTCAAGTAGACCAGGGATGTCAAGATGGAATGCAAGCATGTACTATGTGTAGTGTAAATAACAACTACCAATAGACCTACTACATTTTTAACGTATAGTCAATCAAATAATTACTCTGTAATCAAGGAATCAAGGAACTCAATTCAACTAATAGGATTTATTAGTCATGAAAGAATTAACACTCAAACAATTAGTGTACCTGATGGTCAAATGCTGACCCTTCTACCTCCCGACGGAGTATTCAGCTGTTATCAGGTTCATGCTCTACAACATTTGCAGAGTACGACCCTACCTTACACAGAAAGCGGCACAGGTCCTAATCCAGGCACTTGTCATCTCCCGTCTGGATTACTGCAACTCAATGTTGGCTGGGCTCCCTGCCTGTGCCATTAAACCCCTACAACTTATCCAGAACGCTGCAGCTCGTCTGGTGTTCAACCTTCCCAAGTTCTCTCATGTCACCCCGCTCCTCCGCACACTCCACTGGCATCTACTACAAAACCATGGTGCTTGCCTACGGAGCTGTGAGGGGAACGGCACCTCCTTACCTTCAGGCTCTGATCAGACCCTACACCCAAGGTCACATGCACAAGTACAATGAAATGCCTTTCTTATAAGCTCCAAACCCAACGATGCAGTAATCAATAACAATGTAATACTAAAAATATCAAGGTAGAACAAAAACACACGAGATATAAAAAAGAAGAAGAACAGGATAAAGTTAATTGTTGGGGTTAGAGTTTGCAAGAAAGGCATTTCATTGTACTTGTGCATGTGACATTAATAAACTTCAAACTTGAAACAATAAAACATATCACAATTCGTAGCTCTTTATGAACTCTTGAAACAATCCAAACTAGACAATTTAATTCACAGTAACATTCATTTCGTCGATTCAAGTTTTGATCAGTCTTCACACCTCTCCTGGCGTCAGTGACCCCAGGACTTCCGTGGGAACGTCTATTCCTGGATAATTGAGATGTAAATAACTCTCCTGTGAGATGCAAATATACAGCCATCCATCTAAACGATGTATTGAGTCCTCATACTGGGCCTCAGCGCCAGCAAGTTGCCAGTGTCACATTCTCTCATTCTTCCACTACACTTCAGAGATGAGAGCTGGTGCTTAATGAGATATAGATGTGTCGGTCTCATCATGTCCATCACTGGAAGAACAATTTATATGATTAGGAAAGCAGTAGATCTGTGCAGCACCTGCTCTGAGTTGACCCCGGATGAACCCTGCTGGCTGGTTAAGAGAGGTGCAGTGGGTTTGAGAGCAGTGGTGCCCTGACCAATCTCTCATCCTATCATACATCGTCTGATCTGTTGCAACATGTGGCATTTATCTCTAGTCTTTATAGTAGACTCTGTGATGTCAGGACAGCTATCTCTAGCCTTTATAGTAGACTCTGTGATGTCAGGACAGCTATCTCTAGCCTTTATAGTAGACTCTGTGATGTCAGGACAGCTATCTCTAGCCTTTATAGTAGACTCTGTGATGTCAGGACAGCTATCTCTAGCCTTTATAGTAGACTCTGTGATGTCAGGACAGCTATCTCTAGCCTTTATAGTAGACTCTGTGATGTCAGGACAGCTATCTCTAGCCTTTATAGTAGACTCTGTGATGTCAGGACAGCTATCTCTAGCCTTTATAGTAGACTCTGTGATGTCAGGACAGCTATCTCTAGCCTTTATAGTAGACTCTGTGATGTCAGGACAGCTATCTCTAGCCTTTATAGTAGACTCTGTGATGTCAGGACAGCTATCTCTAGCCTTTATAGTAGACTCTGTGATGTCAGGACAGCTATCTCTAGCCTTTATAGTAGACTCTGTGATGTCAGGACAGCTATCTCTAGCCTTTATATTAGACTCTGTGATGTCAGGACAGCTATCTCTAGCCTTTATAGTAGACTCTGTGATGTCAGGACAGCTATCTCTAGCCTTTATAGTAGACTCTGTATCGTGGCTGTATGATGTTAGTTAGTGCATCTCCAACCTTTAGACTCTCTCTCTCTCTGTTCTAGCAGAATAATGGCTGCAGGAAATTCTCACATGATGTACTCCAGTTATGACTGAGAAAAAGTGTGTGTGTGTGTGCCTGTGCGTGCGTTTGAGTGGTGGCTATACACACTGGACAGTGACAGAGAGATGTAGAGACTGAATTACTCAGCCCTACAGTTTCTGTTGGTATTCATTCCAGCTAAATGTTGGATTAGATGTTGATCAATGACCAGCCAGTTAAAAGGAGGTCAATTCACTCGACTGAGTTGACAAATCCATTTTCATGGGGTCAAGCACAAGTTTAACAACATTTATGTGATAAATTGTAGGTAATGTAACGTCATTGTAATACAAATGTCAGGCTACTGATACGTAAGGTGTAGTACAGTCCAGTATTATAAAGCAAGATGTGTTGAAGGTGATAATATTTGTTGTGTTGCAGACGCCACGGTGACAGAGGGAGGGGAGAACTTCAGCCAGGGCCAGAGACAGCTCTTCTGTCTGGCCAGAGCCTTCGTCAGGAAGTCTAGCATCCTCATCATGGATGAAGCCACAGCCTCTATAGACATGGCCACGGTGAGGCAGAATTATGTGTGTGTGGAGAAGGGATGGGGGTGTGGAGAAGGGGTGGGAGTGTGGAGAAGGGGAGGGAGTGTGGAGAAGGGAAGGGAGTGGAGAAGGGAGATGGTGTGGAGAAGGGGAGGGGGTGTGGAGAAGGGGAGGGAGTGTGGAGAAGGGAGGGGGTGTGGAGAAGGGAAGGGAGTGGAGAAGGGAGATGGTGTGGAGAAGGGGAGGGGGTGTGGAGAAGGAGAGGGAGTTGTGGAGAAGGGAGGAGGGAGGAGGAGTGAGTAGGAAGGGGGGAGGGAGTGTGGGAGAAGGGAAGGGAGTGTGGAGAGAGGTGTAAGGGAGGTGTGGAGAAGGGAGTGGTGTGGAGGAAGGGTGGAGGGGGTGTGGAGAGGGAGTGTGGAGTGTGGAGAAGGGAGATGGGTGTGGAGAATGGGGAGGGGAGTGTGGAGAAGGGGAGGGAGTGTGGAGAAGGGAGTGGGAGTTGTGTTGAGAAGGGAGATGGTGTGGAGAGGAAGGAGGGAGAGGGGTGTGGGAGAAGGGGAGGGGAGTGTGGAGAAGGGAGGGAGTGTGGAGAAGGGGAGGGAGTGTGGAGAAGGGGAGGGAGTGGGGAAGGGGAGGGAGTGGTGGAGAAGGGAAGGGAGTGTGGAGAAGGGAGAGGGTGTGGAGAAGGGAGGGTGGGTGTGGAGAAGGGAGACGGTGTGGAGTGGGGAAAGGAGTGGGAGAAGGGGAGGGGGTGTGAAAGGGGAGGGAGTGTGGAGAAGGGAGACGGTGTGGAGCTGGGGAGGGAGTGTGGAGAAGGGAGACAGTGTGGAGAAGGAGAGGGAGTGTAGAGAAGGGAAAGGAGTGTGGAGAAGGTTTAGGGTGAAAAATGAGGAGAGGGGGAGGTGTATGGTGATGGGTAAAATGAGGAGAGGGGGAGGTGTAGGGTGGTGTGTAAAAGGAGGAGAGGGGGAGGTGTAGGGTGATGTGTAAAAGGAGGAGAGGGGGAGGTGTAGGGTGATGGGTGATGGGTAAAAGGAGGAGAGGGGGAGGTGTAGGGTGATGGGTGATGGGTAAAAGGAGGAGAGGGGGAGGTGTAGGATTAAAGAGAGGATAAAGTAATTATTCTATAGATGGATGGGGACAATAGAGGTATATTGAAAGGGGAGAGGAGGAGAAGAGAGGCCTAGGGCAACAGTGGGAGCGGGACTGAATGAATGGGTGCTTGCTAAATAGGTTCATTTCACTGCTGCACACTGGCTGCACACATACAAATGCACGTACACACCACACACACTCATACGGACGAGAGCACATTCACGCACAGTCACACTTAAGCGACCTGTCACAACGAGGGACTGCACTGCCTCACAGTAGCACAGGAGTAACCCTGGGGAAATGAAGCATATCTTAAACAGGAGACTGAAGGGATGCAGAGAGATTGGACAGAATTAGAGTCAGGAGAAGTGATGTTTTGTGTTGACATAGAGGTTGAGGTGTGGGGAAATTCTGGTAACTAGAGAATCCTTCCATTGATAGTGAGCCTCAATCTTTGAATACTCCAATAATCTGGTGACTCTTTGGTATTACTTGTGTTTATTACACACATATGGCAATATAAAACTTGTTTTAATCAAATGGGGACGATTCAGGATGCATAACGGCCTTTGCAGGCGTGGTTCTGGGATACTTGGGACGTCCCTACCCCATTGAAGTTTACATTTTAAATGGTTACGGTAAGGGTTGTGGTTAGGGTAAGGGTTAAGGTTAGGGTAAGGGTTAAGGTTAGGGTAATGGTTAAGGTTAGGGTAAGGGTTAAGGTTAGGGTAAGGGTTGTGGTTAGGGTAAGGGTTAAGGTTAGGGTAAGGGTAGGGATGTCCTAAGGATCCCGGATAGCACTATCCATAAATTTAATTCAACTACTGGAAAGTATTTATGGATAAATAAATACAACTTTTGAAACGCCTTTACCCACAAAATATATTGGTGAATAAAAAATACAGTGGTTTGATTCATCCTGAAAGTTGCCATATATTCAATTGTTTAAGCCATGAAATATTGGAGGTAGTCTATATAGTAGTCCTATACATCTACCCTAATAATCCTCTAATCATGGAACAGTGATGACAACGGTCCACTCATCCTGAACCATACACTGCGTTCCATAATGATTCAAATAGGCTACATTTCCCAAATATTGCACAGCTTGTAATAAGTTATCCTAATATGATCCACTATTGCTAGCGATCCTCAGGAACAACCACAAATGTGACAGAGGAAATAAAGTTGAACTAACAATGGAATGGAATGACGCAAAATGTAAAGAAACTAAAGCCAAAGAGACAGTTATGTGTGTGGGTATAACTAAGGGTGACTACCGATAGTGGCTAATATTTAACACAATACAAATTGTAAAAAAAAATGAAAAAAAGTGAAAAGTCTGGGCATATAATTAAAACATCATAGAAATCATAAATCAACTCTGTAGATTTGGCACTATACTGTCATTTGCGCATGGCTACAGAAACCAATAGCTCGGGTCTCCAAATTTCATCTCTGCAAGTTATAAGGCCAGTATTTTAATAAACTTAATTGTGGAAAATGTGATATGTTGATATGCTTCAGTTTGCTGCCATATGACTGGTTTCACATTTATTTCTATCAGAAAAAAGAAAGTAGATGTTGTTCTACTTGGAACCGACAGGTTGATCGACCTTATTCATCGTTTCATCGCGCATAAAGGTGAATTATTAGGGAATTAAGTCAAGGTCAGAATACAGTGTTTCTGTAGACACACCTCCGCCACACCTTCATTTATTCGATCTCCACCCCAAACGAATAGCGGGTGAATAGCATGCTATTCACAAACTTAAGTTCAAGGTCAGAATACATTTAGAGAGAAAAGTGCATAAAACCTGAATTACGTTCCATTTACATGCGCTTAACTGGGGTCGGAATTCCCCCCATAGTGAAGGCACAAACTATTTGACTTTTTTTAAGTACAGTGTACTCTGCATAAGAATCATGGATATAAGAACGTCATGTTACTACAGGCTCATCTTCTGCCTTGGTCTTGTGACTGTATTGTGCCTACAGGAGAGCATCCTCCAGAAAGTGGTGATGACTGCCTTCGCTGACAGAACAGTGGTTACCATAGCAGTAAGTATCTCTGTTGGAAGCTCCCCAGTTCGGTCTCACCGACAAGAAAGCCGATACATCCTGACATGCACTGACATCAGGTGACCACTGGAGACTTATGATATATTGAGCGCCAGTAGCTCTTCTGCTATGACCTTCATGCAAGTGGTTGCAAGGTTATAACATAGATATAGGATGGGTGGAACTGGGTAACATAGAGATAGAAGTGGAATCTGAACGGGTAACGCAGGAGGGTCCAGCTCTAGTCCTGGGGGGCCACCGTCCTGCTGGTTTGGGTTTTTCTATTGGACTGCATTCTGTGAGAGCAAACATGCTTTTTATGCACTTAGAAGTTAGAATAACAAGAGTCAAAAGTGACTGCCAGGCAGCCATGGTGGTATCCCATGGGGAAGTGATATGGAGAGAGGACCCTAGGAGACGGTGCACAACGCTGGTCCTCAGGGAAGGTAGCAAGGTAGGGTAGATCCCTGAAAGATCACTGAAATGTATCTTTAGTAGGTCTATGGTGGTCATAGTGTGCGGAGCATGTACAGTATATTTGTATTCTATGTAACCCCGAAGACGGAAGTTGTTAAAAACGTTTATATTTCTCCCTAACCTCATGTTTCTTTCGTTCTTTCGTTCTCTCCTCTTTTCTTTCTCTACTCAGCATCGTGTCCACACCATCCTGAACGCAGACCTGGTGATAGTGATGAAGAGAGGGATCATTCTAGAATACGACAGACCCCAGGCACTGCTGGAGAAAGAAGACAGCGTCTTCGCCTCATTTGTCAAGGCGGACAAGTGACCGATGAGGAAGAGGGAGGAAATTCAAAGTGCATTTGAAGAGCTAATTTCCAAAACGCTATATCCACACATTTTTCACATTTTTGTTTTTTCATCAGAAATGATTGCTTATGGGTACGTTCATGTGTGTGTAAAATAGTACTGTTCTTAGATTTTGTATTAATAGATTTTTGATGTGTATGAAATTAGTTTTTGCTAAATGCTATATATCCATCGTTTAGCTGGAATGGAATGTTCGTATCCTGTATATTTGACTGAAATGTGGTTGTCTCACCTAGCCATCTTAAGATGAATGGACTTACTGTAAGTCGCTCTGGATAAGAGCATCTGCTAACTGACTAATATGTCAAATGTAAATGTTTTACATACAGATCTCATATTACTGTATTGACTTATTTTCTAAAACATGTTTTAAATATTTATGTCACAAATTTATAATTTGTAAAAAATGTAGTTATTTGTTACATTTGACTGTGTAGGCAGATATATAGCATTTTGCAAAAAAACATGATTATTTGTCTCTCTGAAATGAAACCATCCCCCTCCACTCCGGAGCCAGAGCAGTCCGCTCCACCGGTGCCTGATCCAGCTCCGGTCAGCGGCTCCACTCCGGAGCCAGAGCAGTTCGCTCCACCGTCGTCGGGTCCAGCTCCAGTCAGCGGTTCCAGTCCAGACCCAGACGTCAGCCCCTCTCCAGGTTCGGGGTCTCCCACACCAGGGTCCAGACAGGGCTTGGTAATTCGTGGGAGGAAGGAGAGGGGAAGCAGCGCGCCGAGGTCCAGACCAGACCAGGGGCGCAACAGGGAGGCGGAGAGTAAGTGGTCGTCACGCCCTGAGCCGGATCCGCCTCCGAGGCGGAATGGCCACCCGGCCCCTACCCTGTTATGTTTATGTTGTGCGGTCGGAGTCCGCACCTTTGGGGGAGGGTACTGTCACGCCCTGACTCTGGGGACTCGTATTTGTTGAGTCAGGGTGTGTATTTTCTGTGTGGTATGTACTATGTTGTATTTTCTAGGGTTAGATCTAGATCGTCTAGATCTATGTTGGCCGGTGTGGTTCCCAATCAGAGGCAGCTGTCGCTCGTTGTCTCTGATTGGGGACCATACTTACTTACTGTATTGACTTATTTTCTAAAACATGTTTTAAATATTTATGTCACAAATTTATAAGTTGTACATTTCTTTGTTGAAAATGTAGTTATTTGTTACATTTGACTGTGTAGGCGGATATATAGCATTTTGCAAAATAACATGATTATTTGTCTCTCTGAAATGAAACCATCAAGTGATAGATTTTAAACAAATACATGTCTGTCATTGAACAACCCCATGCAATGATTAGATAGTGAAAAAACACACCAATCTCTTTCAGAAGTTCTTTAATCAAGAAAAGCTAATTTATCAACATTTCTGAAAATTGATATATATAGCATTTTAGAATGAAACTCTTTACTTGGACCATGGGCTGTATATTATTATTTTATTTTCTAATCCTGTATGATATTTGTACATAAAATGTTCATTCTTTGTTAATAAAAAGCATAAATAATCATTGCGCAGCAGTGTTTTGCCAACAGTTTATTGACTGGAAGGTGGTTTTGTGTGACCTCACAATGTACAAAGCCAAACGAGTCAGCTGTGGAAGTCTGGGTTAGAATGACACGTTAACTGACTCTGGGAGGTGTTCTAGAAATACGGAATAGTATCTAGCTGAAGCAGCTCCCAGACAGACAAAAGTCCCAGGAACAGTATGTCTTTTTGGAGTTAAGAGTTAGGTTAGGGTTGGGGTTCATGTAAGCATTGGACTTGAGGTTAAGTCCTGTGGAACAGGTGACACCAGGGTATCCCAGTGCCTGCAATGTGAAAGTGACTGCTGCAAGCAGGGTTTATATTTGTCGTGTTTATGGGAATGCCAAGGTCAATATTAACATTTATGGAGTCCCCTGGTTTGTTATGGGGGCCCACAGCACCCATGGACATTCTGGAAATGTGAACCCAGTTCAGCATGGGTGTTGTGTGTTGTGACTGAGGGAGTGACACAAGGGATGTCAGAAACAAAAGATTTAGGACCTGAATCATAGCCTTGTAAACAGCATGAGAGAGATTGAGATTCCATGTGTATGTAATGGGCCTTCTCCAAGGTTGCTGGACAATGGTCCACGAACACCAACACAGTCGTGAAGAGGCCACGACAACACCTCTTCCCCCTCAGGAGGCTGAAAAGATTTGTCATGGGCCCTCAGATCCTCAAAAAGTTATACAGCTGCACCATTGAGAGCATCTTGACTGGCTGTACCACCGCTTGGTATGGCAACTGCTTGGCATCCGACTGCAAGGCGCTACAGAGGATAGTGCGTATGGCCCAGTACATCACTGAGGCCGAGCTCCGTGCCATCCAGGACCTCTATACCAGGCGGTGTCAGAGGAACGCCCTAAAGAAATGTCAAAGACTCCAGCCACCAAAGTCATAGACTTTTCTCTCTGCTACTGCACGGCAAGCGGTACCGATGCACCAAGTCTGGAACCAACAGGGCCCTGAACAGCTTCTACCCCCAAGCCATAAGATGACTACATAATTGTTTAAATAGTTAACCAAATAGCTATGCTGACTATGTGCATTGACCCTTTTTGCACCAACTTTTTTGACTCATCACACACACTGCTGTTAGTTTATTATCTGTCACTTATTCCTAGTTATATGTACATATCTAGCTAAATTACCTCGTACCCCTGCACATTGACTCAGTACTGGTACCCTGTGTATACAGCCAAGTTACTTTTAGTATTACGTGTTTTACTTTTCTATTATTTCTCTATTTTCTTTCTCTGCATTGTTGGGAAGGACCCCTAAGTAAGCATGTCACTGTTAGTCTACACCTGTTGTTTTCGAAGCATGTGACAAATACAATTTGATTTGCTCCAAAGCTCTGGAACTCCAGCCATCTGTGACTCTGAGTCCATCACCATCTTTCAGTCCCTCTTAAAGCCCCGCCTCTTCACCTTCTTATCAATATATTATGTCATTAGTGTTCGGGAAGATTGTCTATAATTGAGAATGAATAAATAGCCTTCTATATGTGAAAACGTTCGAATTAGACTATTCGAGTAGAAACATTGATGAACTAAATGTAGTTAATTGATCCCTAGAGAGGGAAATGCCATCAACATAACCCAGGCTTACAGATGATCAAGTACAGCTGAAAGAGGAACAGTTTCTTCTGCCTAATGCCTTCCCAGCTCTCGTTTCAGTCATGTCACACCAGATCGACACCAGGTCCTCAGGACTCCGGGAGATGCCTTCAATACCGGCCATTAGGGGCAACATGAGCCTCTATTACCATCTAGTAAAAATAATAATCAATAATTGATTGCACTTATACAACACTTTTTCTAGACACCCAAAGCGCTTTAAGGGGGAAGCTCACCTCACCCACCACCAATGTGTAGCACCCAATGTGTTGGGGCAGAATGCTGACCACACATCAGCTAATGTGTACTCCGAGCATGTGCTGACCAACTGGCAAGTGTCTTCACTGACATTTTCAACATGTCCCTGACTGAGTCTGTAATACCAACATGTTTCAAGCAGACCACCATAGTCCCCGTGCCCAAGAACTCTAAGATAACCTGCCTAAATGACTACCGACCCGTAGCACTGACGTCTGTAGCCATGAAGTGCTTTGAAAGACTGGTCATGGCTCACATCAACAGCATAATCCCAGAAACCCTAGACCCACTCCAATTTGCATACCGCCCCAACAGATCCACAGATGATGCAATCTCTATCGCACTCCACACTGCCCTTTCCCACCTGGACAAGAGGAACACCTACGTGAGAATGCTATTCATTGACTACAGCTCAGCATTCAACACCATAGTGCCCTCTAAGCTCATCACTAAGCTAAGGATCCTGGGACTAAACACCTCCCTCTGCAACTGGATCCTGGACTTCCTGACGGGCCGCCCCCAGGTGGTAAGGGTAGGTAACAACACATCTGCCACACTGATCCTCAACACGGGGGCCCCTCAGGGGTGCGTGCTCAGTCCCCTCCTGTACTCTCTGTTCACCCATGACTGCATGGCCAGGCACGACTCCAACACCATCATTAAGTTTGCCGACGACACAACAGTGGTAGGCCTGATCACCGACAACGATGAGACAGCCTATAGGGAGGAGGTCAGAGATCTGGCCGTGTGGTGCCAGGACAACAACCTCTCCCTCAACGTGACCAAGACAAAGGAGATGATTGTGGACTACAGGAAAAAAAAGAGGACTGAGCACGCCCCCATTCTCATCGACGGGGCTGTAGTGGAACAGGTTGAGAGCTTCAAGTTCCTTGGTGTCCACATCACCAACGAACTATCATGGTCCAAACACACCAAGACAGTCGTGAAGAGGGCACGACAAAGCCTATTCCCCCTCAGGAGACTAAAAAGATTTGGCATGGGTCCTCAGATCCTCAAAAAATTCTACAGCTGCACCATCGAGAGCATCCTGACTGGTTGCATCACCGCCTGGTATGGCAACTGCTTGGCCTCTGACCGCAAGGCACTACAGAGGGTAGTGCGTACGGCCCAGTACATCACTGGGGCAAAGCTCCCTGCCATCCAGGACCTCTATACCAGGCGGTGTCAGAGGAAGGCCCTCAAAATTGTCAAAGACTCCAGCCACCCTAGTCATAGACTGTTCTCTCTGCTACCGCACGGCAAGCGGTACCGGAGTGCCAAGTCTAGGTCCAAAAGACTTCTCAACAGCTTCTACCCCCAAGCCATAAGACTCCTGAACAGCTAATCATGGCTACCCGGACTATTTGCACTGCCCCCCCACCCCATCCTTTTTACGCTGCTGCTACTCTGTTAAGTATTTATGCATAGTCACTTTAACTCTACCCACATGTACATATTACCTCAACTACCTCAACTAGCCGGTGCCCCCGCACATTGACTATGCAACGGTACCCCCCTGTATATATAGCCTCCCTACTGTCACTTTATTTTACTGTATATATAGCCTCCCTACTGTCACTTTATTTTACTTCTGCTCTTTTTTTCTCAACACTTTATTGTTGTTGTTTTATTCTTACTTTTTTGTTTAAAATAAATGCACTGTTGGTTAAGGGCTGTAAGTAAGCATTTCACTGTAATGTCTGCACCTGTTGTATTCGGCGCATGTGACCAATAAAATTTGATTTGATTTGATTTGATTAATGTATCAGGTGGAGAGGTGAGGAGTGATATATGCCAATTAGGAATGAGGGGGATGATTAGGTGGCATTGATGGAAATGGGACCAGGTTGGGAATTTAGCCAGGACATTGGGGTTAACACCCCTACTCTTACGATAAGTGCCATGGGATCTTTAGTGATCACAGAGAGTAAGAACACATTTAACATCCCATCCGAAAGACGGCATCCTACGCAGGGCGATGCCCCCATCACTACCCTGGGGCATTGGGATTTGATCTTAAGACCAGAGGGAAGAGTTCCGCCTTTTGGCCCTCCAACACCACTTCCAGCAGCATCTTGTCTAGCTTCAGCGGCAAGCGAGCAGTGGAATTCATGCCTAAATTTAACCGTCAAGATGTTCTGTTTTAATATTAACCCTATCCCAAACCTTTACCTTAACCAGTTGGAATGAATGGCTAAACTGACCCCCCCCCCCCACCCCAGGACAAATATTGAATACTGAAGTGAGACCATGAGATCTTGGTGCTCATTTAGCAACACTAGCCTGCCTGCCTCCCATAGAGATAGTTACACATCATTGTATCTGTCCCATTATGGCGTCTGTGAGAGCACGGGCACTGCCATTAAGGCCATCTCCATTTTGAAGTAGTCCATGTTCTTCTTCTACTACTTCTATGAGTTGGCAAACAAACTGAAAGGGTGCATACTGCCACCTGGAGTGTGTTGTTTAAACAGGTATAAAGCCAAGGTTGGCGATTTACTGCCACCTGCAGTTATACTTCATTGGCTGATCCCTCCTGGTGACCTGGATGGAATCATGTGATCCTTCCTTAACCCATAGGAAGCCCCACCCAGTTGACTACTTCAAAAAGGTGAAAGTCCTCTAAAATGGCCTTTTGGGCAATAGAGTCCTCTATGCATCTCTATGCTGCCTCATCAGAACAATGGGGCCGGGGGTAGTTGTATCACCTCTGGGTAAAACACACGGGTTAGTAGACAATTACACCACTCCTGTTGCGATATATGTACCTCGTTAAAAGTTGGCCTATACATGAGAGAATTCTGTTTTCATCGTGTGAAAAGCGCTCCATACCGGTGCGTCAACTGCGATGGAAATATCGAGTTGCAGTTCGTGACTGACAGCGGCAGCTGAATCTTTTCATGAGACCTGGACGGCTATGGTGGTGCCCCTGCCTAACCGATGTGAGGAGCACACATACTTTTAGAAACTAGATGACAGCACAACACTCTCTCCGGCCAGCTGCTATCATTCGGAAGAGAACTGTCACGGGAGGTTAACCTTCGGTTAGAAGACACAGTTGAGAAAAGGAATTCATTAGCCTATTTATTTCATCAAGAGAAGAGGTAGCTAATCTGCGTAATCTAAAGCAAGTGGTCACGGGGTGAATAGTAGGCTATGGGAGCATTATGCTTTCCCGTAAAGGACTAATCCCGGACGACTACTTGCTGACCCGCTTGGCTGAGGATGTCCAGCAGCCTAAATTCAAGGCGAGTAAAGCGCGGAAGGCTCGGTTCGTCGCCAAAAACGGAACCTGTAATGTGGCCCACACGAACATTCGCGAACAGGGACGGTTCCTACAGGATGTTTTCACCACTTTAGTGGATCTAAAATGGCTTCACACACTTATCATTTTCACCATGTCATTTCTGTGCAGCTGGCTGCTGTTTGCAATGGTTTGGTGGCTCATTGCCTTTGCGCACGGTGACCTGGATCTAAAGGGTGACGACTTTGTCCCGTGCGTAACGGACATCCACTCCTTCGCCTCTGCGTTCCTATTCTCCATCGAGGTACAGGTGACCATCGGGTTCGGGGGGCGCATGGTTACAGAGGAATGCTTGTCTGCCATAGTGGTCCTCATTATTCAGAACATAGTGGGCTTGCTGATTAACGCAATCATGCTGGGGTGTATCTTTATGAAGACGGCCCAGGCCAACCGTCGCGCCGAGACGCTGATCTTCAGCAAGCACGCCGTCATCTCCATACGAAATAACAAGCTGTGCTTTATGATCCGTTTAGGGGACCTGCGGAAGAGCATGATCATCAGTGCCACCGTGCGGATGCAGGTGGTAAGGCGCAGCACCACTTTGGAGGGCGAAGTGGTCCCACTAGACCAGATAGACATTCACATGGACAACCCCGTGGGGACCAACGGTATTTTCCTGGTGGCCCCTCTCATCATATGCCACGTTATTAACAAAGACAGCCCGCTCTACGAGCTGTCGCCAACGGATTTACAAAATAATGACATCGAAGTGATAGTGGTGCTGGAGGGGGTTGTGGAGACCACCGGTATAACCACCCAGGCCCGGACATCCTACCTGTCCGATGAGATACTGTGGGGGAAGCGCTTTGTGCCCACTATATCCGAGGAGGAGGGCATGTATGCGGTGGACTATTCTAAATTCGGGAACACAGTTAGAGTAGCGACACCCAGCAGCAGTGCCAAGAAGCTGGATGAGGAGGGAGGCATCGCCAGGTTTAAACTGCACGAGCACGCGACCCCGCGGCCGTCCGTGAGAAGGCGGCGGCTCTCACTGCGCATGAAGCAATACAGCACCATCAGCCCACTAGCCTAAATAGCGTACTTTTACAGGTATAAAGGAGTTGATATTGCCATTGCATTTTGTATATGAAAGTAATATATTTGTATTACCTATTGAATTTTAATGGATCTTTCTGTATACTACAGAAATGAAATGTTTATTATGTCCTAGCAGTGTTCTTATTCTGTACAATGGCACCTATAGGGTGTGCAGACTTTTTTTTCTTGCCCAGTCCTAACACACCTGCTTCAACCAAGGACGTTAGCAATAGCGGTGAGTGGGTAAAATCACCGGGGAAGCCAGAAAAGAAAAATCCATATTACAACATACAGTGGGGAGAAGAAGTATTTGATACACTGCCGATTTTGCAGGTTTTCCTACTTACAAAGCATGTAGAGGTCTGTAATATGTATCATAGGTACACTTCAACTGTGAGAGACGGAATCTAAAACAAAAATCCAGAAAATCACATTGTATGATTTTTAAGTAATTTATTAGCATTTTATTGCATGACATAAGTATTTGATCACCTACCAACCAGTAAGTATTCCGGCTCTCACAGACCTGTTAGTTTTTCTTTAAGAAGCCCTCCTTTTCTCCACTCATTACCTGTATTAACTGCACCTGTTTGGACTTGTTACCTGTATAAAAGACACCTGTCCACACACTCAATCAAAGACTCCAACCTCTCCACAATGGCCAAGACCAGAGAGCTGTGTAAGGACATCAGGGATAAAATTGTAGACCTGCACAAGGCTGGGATGGGCTACAGGACAATAGGCAAGCAGCTTGGTGAGAATTAAACAACTGTTGGCGCAATTATTAGAAAATGGAAGAAGTTCAAGATGACGGTCAATCACCCTCGGTCTGGGGGCTCCATGCAAGATCTCACCTCATGGGGCATCAATGATCATGAGGAAGGTGAGGGATCAGCCCATAACTACACGGCAGGAGCTGGTCAATGACCTGAAGAGAGCTGGGACCACAGTCTCAAAGAAAACCATTAGTAAGGTCCCCCTGCTCAAGCCAGCGCATGTCCAGGCCCGTCTTAAGTTTGCCAATGACCATCTGGATGATCCAGAGGAGGAATGGGAGAAGGTCATGTGGTCTGATGAGACAAAAATAGAGCTTTTTGGTCTAAACTCCCCTCGCCGTGTTTGGAGGAAGAAGAAGGATGAGTACAACCCCAAGAACACCATCCCAACTGTGAAGCATGGAGGTGGAAACATCATTCTTTGGAGATGTTTTTCTGCAAAGGGGATAGGATGACTGCACCGTATTGAGGGGAGGATGGATGGGGCCATGTATCGCGAGATCTTGGCCAACAACCTCCTTCCCTCAGTAAGAGCATTGAAGATGGGTCGTGGCTGGGTCTTCCAGCATGACAACGACCCGAAACACACAGCCAGGGCAACTAAGGAGTGGCTCCGTAAGAAGCATCTCAAGGTCCTGGAGTGGCCTAGCCAGTCTCCAGACCTGAACCCAATAGAAAATCTTTGGATGGAGCTGAAAGTCCGTATTGCCCAGCGACAGCCCCGAAACCTGAAGGATCTGGAGAAGGTCTGTATGGAGGAGTGGGCCAAAATCCCTGCTGCAGTGTGTGCAAACCTGGTCAAGACCTACAGGAAACGTATGATCTCTGTAATTGCAAACAAAGGTTTCTGTACCAAATATTAAGTTCTGCTTTTCTGATGTATCAAATACTTATGTCATGCAATAAAATGCAAATTAATGACTTAAAAATCATACAATGTGATTTTCTGGATTTTTGTTTTAGATTCCGTCTCTCACAGTTGAAGTGTACCTATGATAAAAATGACAGACCTCTACATGCTTTGTAAGTAGGAAAACCTGCAAAATCGGCAGTGTATCAAATACTTGTTCTCCCCACTGTATGTGTTGTGATAATTGCATTGTTTGCTCTATAACCTGTAAGTTCATATGCCTTGCGACCGTGATATATGCCTAAGGCTGAGACAATAAGAAGACACAGTGGCAGAATAAATTCAACCACACCTTTGTTTCATCACAAAACCGGAGAGCAACCTCTGTCCGGTGAAGTCCATAAAGCATATAACAAACAGTTACATGACCATAGTCAAGAAAGTTAATGTTTCCGACATTTTCGGACTACTAAACAACCATGGAGAGTTACTGCAAGTTGCAAAGAAAACAGGAGCAGCACCATTTCAACTTCAACAAATCACCTATGCTTAGTCTGGCCATGGTTCTGATTTGTGTGTGTTTGTGCAAGAAATAGAGTACCATAGTATGAGTCATAATACCCATAAAACCTAGCGGTCAAACAAGGAAATGGTTCCAATCGTTTTTCCACCATTAATTTTTCCCCATAGGAGATTGTAGAAACACTTAAAATATGGGCTGTGCTTCGTGTAGGCTTACCCAGGAGTGACGTTTTGATAACCGTGTAAATCTCTCTAGGACAAGGTGACTTTTATCAAAATATTTCCCTGTATTTACCCACAAATAAAATACTAATTAGCTGCTGTGTCTATCATATAGAACGACAAATGCCATGATCTGAACGAGACTGCCGAATCGAGGCAAAGGTAAGAATCTCTGGATTAACATGTAATGTTAGGTCAATTTAGTAATGAATAAATTGGCAAAACGTCTTTAAATGGACAATTCTGTGAACTGTCTTGTGCAAGTTTTAAATTGACACACCACCTGTTAGTAAAGCGGTCAGCTAGAGGTGACGTGGAGGAGCTTGCAGGGATTCTTGCTTGAGAAATGTATCTTCGCTAAGAAGCCTTTTTTGTTTCTTTGTGACCATTTTATATGAAAATAATCACAGTAAGGTACTTAGTTGTTACCCAGAAATGATTTGAAATCGAGATAAAAACGGATGCATTGGCACTTTAAATAAATAGAATGGTTAAATTAGCATTATTTAGAACCCTCCGAAAATGTGTCTTTTGTTGCATTTAAAGCTGCAATATGTAACTTTTTGTGAGACCCGGGTATTATGACTCATAGAAATGTGAGTTATAGATCTGCCATTCTCATTGAAAGCAATTCTAAGAAGCGTATTCTCTCATTCAGGGGGTTGAGCCGCCCCCCCCCCCCCTCATTCAGGGGAGTTGATTCCCCTCCCCACCCCCGTAATTAGCACTCAGTGCTGGACTAGAACAAAAGCCTTCACAGCCTGTGGGTATAGTCAAGACCAGGATCAAAGAACATTGTAGCCTAATAGTCACATGGCCCTATATAGACTGCAATGTGAACGCGACATTACCTGAAGCATTAGGTGATGTTAGGGGCCTGAATGTCATGCCGTTTTATCAATCCCACAATAAGCACGTATCAAATACCTTCTTAAATCAGGGTCCTAAATGAAAACATATGCACATGTATGATGGAATGCAGTTTGATAGATTTATAACATTATACAAAGTTATGCAAGTACTGTATCCAGTTCGGAGGCAGAGGCCAGAGTGTGTGTTCTGGTGCCCAACACTCCTACTGGAGAACTAGCCACCTGCAGGCTTTCTATCCGGCCCTGGATTAAAACCAGTAGAACTGACACTGTGGCCCTCGAGGACTTGAGCACTGCTGATCTACATAATGATGCTCTTTTATGGTAAAAATCACTATGGTTTTTGATATTGTGTTTATGCTAAGCTTGACTTTGGAAATAAAGAGGGAACGCCTGTTGAAAAGCACTTGACATGTACTGTGTGTGTGTGTGTGTGTGTATATGTAAGGATGATATGCAGAGGAGAGTTTCCTTGAAAAGTGACATGTTTTCCTTGTTTCTATGCATGTCACACATCTACCTCATCAGGTTGACAGAAGACAACACGAGGTCAAGCGGCATTTATGTATTTTATTCGATTATAATCCGCAGAGCTTAAAATATTAAATTGCTTTTAACTTAGTTAATAATTAAAATACATAAAAATGAAAGCCAGAACTGAAGAACCCTGCAAACAAAACAAAATGAAAATAAATAAAATAAAAGGGAGAACAGTAAACCCAAGTCCTCCCGATACAGAGGCTATGTCTAACGGACTCTTTCCACTCTACACTGAAGATGAAGCATACTGTGCAGTTTTCTATACATGTGTAGGATAACATAATTTTTCATGAACTAGTTTCCTCTTTGATCATTTAAAAGGGAAAATAAAACCCCAAAAGACAAGGGGCTTGGCTGGAGGGGTTATCGTGAAGAGACAGTCGGGCTCTTTAGCAATACAGGACAGTAAAGCAGACCACCCCACACTTCTCCTTTCTCTCCTCCTTTCTGGGCCTGCAGATATTACCAATGTCCTTGTCCTTCTCCTGTGCTGCTAGAAAGGGCAGGGGGGGCGCCACTCTATCTCACCCCAGCAAACAGCTCTGTTCCCTGGGGAAGAGGTCTCCACTCTCCACCAACCTCCCCTGTAACCAGACATGGGCACCAGTCTGTCTTGTAATAGCAGGTCTGGTCATATTAAATATCTAATATAGAATTTTGATATCTTCTTCTTTATCTCCCTGTTTGTGTGGCAGTGCCACCCTACGTCTACACTGCCCCCTATGGGTGGCCTCTGGGACAGGGCTGTTAAAGAGGGGTTCATCAGGTGAATACATGACTAGAGTAATATGAGAATGACAACTGTAATATTGAAGGGACTGAGAGTAGTTTTGTGGACAGAGAGAATGAGAGAGAGAGAGAGAAAGTGAGAGAGAGCGCGAAAGAGAGAGAATAATAGCAGTGACTTGTGTTCTCTCAGGTCCTGAGTAGCAAGCGCTTTAATCATCTCCAGATTAACAACCCAAACAGTGATTGGCTAGTATTACCCTACCAGGTAGTAACGTGGCTCCCTATAGACCTTCCCCCTTCAATCCTCCCACCACTACACAGGAGCGAAGAGCCAATCCTTATATTTGAGTCAGCTTTTCTCCACACAATAACAACACTGTACAATAGTATGTTCAAGCAAAGCAGTCACCATCCTGAACTGTACTTTAGGCAGAGGACAGAAGGAAGGAAGGGCAAACAGAAACACTGTCCCAAATGAGAAAAATAAAAAACACATAAAACTGAATAAAACTTTTCCAACAGAATAAAATAAAAGTCAAATAAAACCAAAATTAAAATAAAACATTACATATTTGTTCCTAGTTTAAATTGCAGAGTAGATGGGAGGGATTTGCCCCTGGAAGGAACACGCTCACGCCAATTCCTGTTGGCGTGACAACACCCCCCCCCTACAAAAAACAACACCACCTTCCTTCCTTCCTTCCTTCCTTCCTTCCTTCCTTCCTTCCTTCCTTCCTTCCTTCCTTCCTTCCTTCCTTCCTTCCTTCCTTCCTTCCTTCCTTCCTTCCTTCCTTCCTTCCTTCCTTCCTGTTGGTGTCAGTGAAATATCATGTTAGTGGAAGGTCTCTAAGTCCTGCTGCTGGAGCCTGAGGTCTAGGAAGGGGACCAGGAACGTTTCCATCTCTTCTCTATCTTAATCTTCTACCGTCTTCTTCCCGGGGCTGCTTGTCGCGGCAACCCCTGCTCATCTCTCCGTCATGTGGTTGTGTGAGGAGGGGGAGGGAGCTGATGTGGGGGAGGAAGGGGCGGCGGGCGCTGGGGTGGGGGGCGCGGGGGCGCAGAGGATTTCGGACAGGTCGTCCATGATACAGGTCTCCTTGGGGTCGACTAGGTTGAATTCCCTTACGAAAACAATGAAATGTGCGTACAGAGTGTTCAAGTGGCCCTGCAGGTCCAGGGCCACTGTCTCCTTAAAGTGAGCCCAGTAGAGGTGAGCCAGCACATGGAAGAGGTACCGGCAAATCTTCTTTACCAAAGAGTCAAACGAGTTGGGGAACTCTTTGCCTGCACGGAGAGAGAGAAGAGGGGGAAGAGCATGGTTAAAAATAATGTGGTCTCTTTTAGTTGGTTTGGCATTGCCAAGCTATTATCACAATGCCAAGACAGTTCTAAAGTGCCAAAAACATTCAAGACTTCTACTACTTGAGACATTAGAGGGCAGCAGGGGCACAGTTCACAAAGTCCCAGCTTCAGTGTGACGTCAGAGGAGAAGAGGCTACAGTGCTGCAGACTGACCACAGTGAGGCTCTGCGTGTCTGGAGCGGACCAGAGCTCAACTCACCATATTTCGTAGGGAAGTTTTCCTCTTCTGTGACCAGCTTCTGCACCAGACTCATGACGAAGTCGACGTACTGAGGGGCAGTGCACTTAGTCTTCTTCCCCCTCTCGTCATACCAGTAGTATATTCTGGACACAAACAGAAAGAAAGAGAGTGGGTTATTTTTCCATGTAAAAATACACCTTATGGAACAAAGGAGACTGTGAAGAGACACACACAAAAAGGTACAAACACATGCATATGCACACATTGTGATATTGTTGTATGGTGGTATTAAACATTTTGTATTGTGGATATGTAGTGGTGTAATAATGTTATATGATGTACTGTTTTATCTTTTGTTTTATATGTAATGTAAGTGCTTTAATATGTTTGGATCCCAGGAAGAGTAGCTGTTGCCTCGGCAGCAGCTAATGGAGATCCCTAATAAATACAAATACAAATACTAATGTGTACATACATGCACTTGAAATGTACAAGATCTAGGATATTATTACTTAATCTAGTAAATTATTGCTGACAAGTCGTCTGATCTTTAACAGGAACAACCTGGTAGGTTCAATCACTACCTACATCTCATATTATTAATCATATTTGGTAAAGGATATGTACGAACTGAGGCAGCTTCCTTACACTGCAAGGTGTGCTTTTCCAAAAACTCAAAATGGCTGAATCATACTTCATCGTGTTGAAAGATGAAAGACACTAGGCCTACTTGAGAGCCCCCACATTCACAGCATTTCCCCATCTCGAAACGAGACCAAAAGTCCTTTTAACCCAACGTGATGAATGACTGAACTGTGTGTTCGTGCGGACTAGGGGTGTGTCGTTAATCATTAACGTTAAGAATTGCAGTTTTAAAGCTAATTTCCTTCAATTACACACATTTAACCATGACTTATGCCTTGTTCTTATGCCATCTGAGTGACTCAAACATAACAAAATCAATGGGGGCCCCATGCCAAGACATTTTTAAAATTTTAGATTCTATTATTTTGGTGATTATTAGTTCTCAAAGATTCTCTTTTTTTTGTTGTTGTGCTGGCCACGATTTATCAGTGGTGGTGCGCCGCTGCTAAATGCATATAGGGGAAACATCGCTCCCGTTTCAACAGGGTGTTAATCCCTTTCTAATGGGAGTTCGGACATATAATTACAAGCATTAGAAAGCGAATATTATTTGCTTTTTAACCAGTAGATAGCCGCATTTGGCGCGTCTTTTCTTTTGCCCTGTGAGCTTAAACTAGATGAAAATTCAAACTAGGTGGGCAGGCTTTTGTTAAACATGAAACAAAGTAGGCCCCTAGCCTAATGAATATGCTGTCTGCCTTCAACAAAACATATTTCAGAAATATGCATGGCTGAATCATACTTCATCGTGTTGAAAGATGAAAGACACTAGGCCTACTTGAGAGCCCCCACATTCACAGCATTTCCCCATCTCGAAACGAGACCAAAAGTCCTTTTAACCCAACGTGATGAATGACTGAACTGTGTGTTCGTGCGGACTAGGGGTGTGTCGTTAATCATTAACGTTAAGAATTGCAGTTTTAAAGCTAATTTCCTTCAATTACACACATTTAACCATGACTTATGCCTTGTTCTTATGCCATCTGAGTGACTCAAACATAACAAAATCAATGGGGGCCCCATGCCAAGACATTTTTAAAATTTTAGATTCTATTATTTTGGTGATTATTAGTTCTCAAAGATTCTCTTTTTTTTGTTGTTGTGCTGGCCACGATTTATCAGTGGTGGTGCGCCGCTGCTAAATGCATATAGGGGAAACATCGCTCCCGTTTCAACAGGGTGTTAATCCCTTTCTAATGGGAGTTCGGACATATAATTACAAGCATTAGAAAGCGAATATTATTTGCTTTTTAACCAGTAGATAGCCGCATTTGGCGCGTGTTTTCTTTTGCCCTGTGAGCTTAAACTAGATGAAAATTCAAACTAGGTGGGCAGGCTTTTGTTAAACATGAAACAAAGTAGGCCCCTAGCCTAATGAATATGCTGTCTGCCTTCAACAAAACATATTTCAGTCTGGAACCTGTCTAGGTTTGTTAATAATAATAATCTATTATTCCGAAACTGCAGCTCATGGTTGGAACACATATACCCCTACTTTAATCAACAAGTCCATTTTGAATCTGTGACAGAGCTGCCGTGATTTGACAAGGAATGTAGCTTGTCTACAGTTTTGTTTATGTATCCAGTCACTTAGATCCGTTTTTATAGGCAGTCATTTCTGTAGGCCTAATGGAAGCTTGGGTGCGCAGCACGCGCCTGTGTGTGTAGAGGGAGCGGTCGGATCGAAATTGAGTGAGAAATGTAACAGAGGAAAAATGAAAATGTAGAGAGAAGAACTGTGATCACTTGGCTAGGTTTTTTCTTTTGTTGTGAGTCGCTAGTGCACATAACCAATGGAAGGAACACGAGTCAATGTGAAGTAGCGGTCGTCTTCGGGACAAAATTTCACCTGCCTGTTCGGGAAGCCATAAAACAGATTCAAAATGCCTAAGCCTACTGTATGACTACGATAGAACTTAATTGCCCCCTTGTGGTCATACCACACAATACGATTTCATTAAAATGTTATTTTGTTTTAACGGAAAACTGATACAAAAAATAATGTCAATTTGTCACATCCCTAGTGTGGACCTGCCAGACAGCCTCCAGCCCAGCCAACCCCACCACCTCCTAAAATAGACATGTTTGCATATTTTCATTCCAGTGGACTTAGTGAACCCCCTGCCCTGGCCCTTCCATTTCCTGATTGGGCCGAATTCCCTGCAGTCTCAGAGTAACATGACACTGATCCCCCAGTCGCACGGCCGCTCACTCTGACCAGTCAAACATTTCCGGAGAGGGGTGACCCAGTTAGACGGTGGCTGTAACTGAAGGCCGCCCCTCAGGGCTAGCCACAGGGTATCATGAGTTAGCAAGGTCAAATGGCTAGTCAGTGAAGTCGCCAAACAAAGCTAGCATGGCTAGCATGACACAGGCGACCAGGGAATACTGTACTATAGCTAGCAGTGGGATAGTGACGCTAGGCTGGGCATGAGAGCTAAAAGGGGTCATAAACTACAGAACACATTACCACAGGCACCACACGAGTCAAATAACAGAATTCACAGGGAAGGCCCATCTAGGAGTTAGCAAGGTCAAAGCTAGCATGGCTAAAGCGACAGGGAAACAGAGCTAACAGTAGGATAAGCTATTAGCTAATGAAGCTAGCAGGGTATGGTAGCTGACAGGCTGGCTTTGATCTAGCACAGGCACCAAATGAGCCCTAGAGCAGAGCTAGCAAGGTCTGTAGGATCTACCAAGGTCAAGCTACAAGGCTAATAAGCTTGTAAACAATGGTCTGACTGAATCTCAAAGCTAGCTAGAACGCAGTAGAGGTAAAGGGTGGGTGGAGTAGTGAGCCTTAGTCGGAGCCTGGAGTAGCAGAATCCCTATGAGCACAAGACGTTGAAAAGATGGCGAGAAGACATATTTTTGGTTGAAAATATGTTGGAAATATGTCTTTCAACCAATTTTGCTCACTGCGTGGTCTGAGAGGCAGCGGAGCAGACATTACAAATCCTGAAGAATGTACAGCGTCCACATAACTGTAGGAGGAACTTACTGACCACAGGACAAGCACCAGGCACAACACCAGGACCAGCGCCAGGCCAGGGACTTCACACTGAGGACCTACTGACCACAGGACCAGGTCAAGGACTCCACACTGAGGACCTACTGACAACAGGACCAGGCCCAGGTCAAGGACTTCACACTGAGGACCTACTGACCACAGGACCAGGCCCAGGTCAAGGACTCCACACTGAGGACCTACTGACCAGAGGACCAGGCCCAGGTCAAGGACTCCACAGTGAGGACCTACTGACCACAGGACCAGGCCCAGGTCAAGGACTCCACACTGAGGACCTACCTACCACAGGTCCAGGCCCAGGTCAAGGACTCCACACTGGGGTCTACTGACCACAGGACCAGGTCAAGGACTCCACACCGAGGACCTACTGACCAGAGGACCAGGCCCAGGTCAAGGACTCCACACTGAGGACCTACTGACCACAGGACCAGGTCCAGGTCAAGGACTCCACACTGAGGACCTACTGACCAGAGGACCAGGCCCAGGTCAAGGACTCCACACTGAGGACCTACTGACCACAGGACCAGGCCCAGGTCAAGGACTCCACACTGAGGACCTACTGACCAGAGGACCAGGCCCAGGTCAAGGACTCCACACTGAGGACCTACTGACCAGAGGACCAGGCCCAGGTCAAGGACTCCACACTGAGGACCTACTGACCAGAGGACCAGGCCCAGGTCAAGGACTCCACACTGAGGACCTACTGACCACAGGACCAGGCCCAGGTCAAGGACTCCACACTGAGGACCTACTGACCAGAGGACCAGGCCCAGGTCAAGGACTCCACACTGAGGACCTACTGACCACAGGACCAGGCCCAGGTCAAGGACTCCACACTGAGGACCTACTGACCAGAGGACCAGGCCCAGGTCAAGGACTCCACACTGAGGACCTACTGACCAGAGGACCAGGGCCAGGTCAAGGACTCCACACTGAGGACCTACTGACCACAGGACCAGGTCCAGGTCAAGGACTCCACACTGAGGACCTACTGACCAGAGGACCAGGCCCAGGTCAAGGACTCCACACTGAGGACCTACTGACCAGAGGACCAGGCCCAGGTCAAGGACTCCACACTGAGGACCTACTGACCAGAGGACCAGGCCCAGGTCAAGGACTCCACACTGAGGACCTACTGACCAGAGGACCAGGCCCAGGTCAAGGACTCCACACTGAGGACCTACTGACCACAGGACCAGGCCCAGGTCAAGGACTCCACACTGAGGACCTACTGACCAGAGGACCAGGCCCAGGTCAAGGACTCCACACTGAGGACCTACTGACCAGAGGACCAGGCCCAGGTCAAGGACTCCACACTGAGGACCTACTGACCACAGGTCCAGGCCCAGGTCAAGGACTCCACACTGAGGACCTACTGACCACAGGTCCAGGCCCAGGTCAAGGACTCCACACTGAGGAGATTACAGCACTAACACTCACTAGGCTAATACACACATACACCCACCTACCCCAAAACACAGACTGACATACACCCACCTACCCCAAAACACAGACTGACATACACCCACCTACCCCAAAACACAGACTGACATACACCCACCTACCCCAAAACACAGACTGACATACACCCACATACCCCAAAACACAGACTGACATACACCCACATACCCCAAAACAGACACGCTTACAAAGACTGACACAGCCCACCAAAAAACACACCCACACACCAACCCGCCCATTCACTCACCCACAGAAAATGGGCTTAGATAACTACCAAATGGACCAGTTCCCATTGCTCATGGAAAGTTCCCCCTAAAATAGCTTCACAATGCCTGGGGCAAGGGGGCGTGGACTGTGACTGTGTGTCTCAGTTGTGGGATGGGTGTGTTCCTGCCAGGCGGACGAAGGAAAAGGCGGGGTGCTGTTACTGTGGTACACCATTAGACTGGCTGGCTGGCTGGCTGGCTGGCTGGCTGGAGGACTGGCTGGCTGGCTGACTGGAGGACTGGCTGGCTGGCTGGAGGACTGGCTGGCTGGCTGGCTGGCTGGCTGGCTGGCTGGCTGGACTGGCTGGCTGGACTGGCTGGCTGGCTGACTGGCTGGCTGGCTGGAGGACTGGCTGACTGACTGGCTGGCTGGCTGGAGGACTGGCTGGCTGGCTGGAGGACTGGCTGGCTGACTGACTGGCTGGCTGACTGGCTGGCTGGAGGACTGGCTGGCTGACTGGCTGGCTGGAGGACTGGCTGACTGACTGACTGGCTGGCTGGCTGACTGACTGACTGGCTGGCTGGCTGACTGGCTGGAGGACTGGCTGGCTGATTGACTGACTGGCTGGCTGGCTGACTGGAGGTCTCCACAGATATTACAGCCTACGGCTACAACCCTCCTTGGAAACACTGGGAGCTTCCGGGTTCATGGGGTTTGGGTAGTGGAAATGTACTTCACTACAATATTGCACACTTTGTATAGCCACCTCTATTTTGCTGTTTGCTACCATGTAGCCTAGTATTGTAACCTAAGATTAGGCTTAACCATACAGGGTTCCTTCACATACTTTACACAGAACATCAGATAGCCTCTCCCACTGTTTAGGGTGTGGGTCACCCACAGTAGCAAAAAAGGTTACAGCATGTGTGGAAAAATACAGTAACGTTAAATGGGGTCAACCCTGTGACGTTTGTCACCTGACAATAAATCTGTCATTTCTCAACGGCTTCTCCATTGTTCGTTTTTTTCTCTGTCACTGTCATGTTTCTCCCTGTGTGAGTGAGTGTGTGTGTGTGTGTGTGTGTGTGTGTGAGTGAGTGTGTGTGTGTGTGTATGTGTGTGGTTTAGCCTAAATGTGTGAGGGATCAGTCCTATAAGTAGGTGTAGGTGAGGGCAGCCTCTTTTCAAAGAGAAGGTCTCACACATGAAGACACCCCGCCCTGACACGGTCAACTCATTGGGTAAATACTCACAGTCAACCTCCTCCACTCTGCTAGACAGGGATGAATAGGCCTCCATGTTATGACTGTCTTTAACACTTTTTTACTACTGTAGCGGTGCGCACTGGCTTTTTTATGGAGGCAGATAAACAATAGCAGTCGATAGCTCTCTGTACAGAGTAAAGGCATTCCTTTATGAACAACGAAGGATGAAGGTGATATTTTAAGACCCTGTTTGGACTTCTGAGCTAAACTATCATAGGAGGGCTGGTATAGTGATGACTCGTGTTCGCACATAATACGTTCTATATGTTCAAAAGGACCAGAACTATTAGCTAGATGGTCCCTTCTAGTTTACTTGGCATTGGAACGCACAGAAACAAAATGGCCACATCTCCAACGTCATCATCTCCTCAGAACGGTTTGATCTCTGCTCTCTATCTGGGAACACTGTGAACTCACTATGTGCCAGTCCAGATAGGAACACTATATTCTAAGTGCAGAGACCTCACTATGCACCAGTCCAGATAGGAACACTGTATTCTAAGTGCAGAGACCTCACTATGCACCAGTCCAGATAGGAACACTATATTCTAAGTGCAGAGACCTCACTATGCACCAGTCCAGATAGGAACACTGTATTCTAAGTGCAGAGACCTCACTATGCACCAGTCCAGATAGGAACACTGTATTCTAAGTGCAGAGACCTCACTATGCACCAGTCCAGATAGGAACACTATATTCTAAGTGCAGAGACCTCACTATGCGCCAGTCCAGATAGGAACACTGTATTCTAAGTGCAGAGACCTCACTATGCACCAGTCCAGATAGGAACACTATATTCTAAGTGCAGAGACCTCACTATGCACCAGTCCAGATAGGAACACTGTATTCTAAGTGCAGAGACCTCACTATGCGCCAGTCCAGATAGGAACACAAGGCACCTCAGAAAGGCTAATGCGATTGGAGAATACTCGCTGCATATTCCGACATTCTCTCACTAGCATTAGATAACTCAGCAGTTCTCAACTGTACAGAACACACAGACAGACAGACAGAGATAGAGAGAGAACACAAACAACAGAAAGACATAGGGAACAGGGAGTACAGCCCTGCGGTCAAAAGCTCTCCTGCTATCAACAGATGGTCTGTTGCTGTGTCAGTGCATCCTTGATAAATTATCCAATGGGATATGAGACTTCTGATAAATAACCCAATTGGAGGCCAGAGAACTGATGAATAAACCAATGGTAGGGGAAGTGACTTACGTGTTGCAGGCCGTCATGGCTTGACAGGTGTCCCCAGTGCAGAACTCTGAGATGGTGCTGTACTGCAGGTTTATTAGATTGAAGAAGGTCGTCGCTGAAGAGGGAGAAGAGAAATACACTCATTATTACACTCAGTAATAGCCACAGTCTGCTCAAGGCCTAGCCTCGGTCAAATAGCCTACATACAGTTAAAGTCGGAACTTTACACACACATTTATATCATTTAGCAGACGCTCTTATCCAGAGCGACTTACAGTGTATGTATACGTGTGTATATATACGTATATATGTACAGTTGAAGTCGGAGGTTTACATACACCTTATCCAAATACATTTAAACTCAGTTTTTCACAATTCCTGACATTTAATCCTAATCAAAATTCCCTGTCTTAGGTCAGTTAGGATCACCACTTTATTTTAAGAATGTGAAATGTCAGAATAATAGTAGAGAGAATTATTTATTTCAGCTTTTATTTCTTTCATAAATTCCCAGTGGGTCAGAAGTTTACATACACTCAATTAGTATTTTGTAGCATTGCCTTTAAATTGTTTAACTTGGGTCAAACGTTTCGGGTAGCCTTCCACAAGCTTCCCACAATAAATTGGGTGAATTTTGGCCCATTCCTCCTGACAGAGTTGGTGTAACTGAGTCAGGTTTGTAGGCCTCCTTGCTCGCACATGCTTTTTCAGCTCTGCCCACAAATGTTCTATAGGATTGAGGTCAGGGCTTTGTGATGGCCACTCCAATACCTTGACTTTGTTGTCCTTAAGCCATTTTGCCACAACTTTGGAAGTATGCTTGGGGTCATTGTCCATTTGGAAGACCCATTTGCAACTAAGCTTTAACTTCCTGACTGATGTCTTGAGATGTTGCTTCAATATATCCACATAATTTTCCTTCCTCATGATGCCATCTATTTTGTGAAGTGCACCAGTCCCTCCTGCAGCAAAGCACCCCCACAGCATGATGCTGCCACCCCCGTGCTTCACGGTTGGGATGGTGTTCATCGGCTTGCAAGCTCCCCCTTTTTCCTCCAAACATAACGATGGTCATTATGGCCAAACAGTTCTATTTTTGTTTCATCAGACCAAAGGACATTTCTCCAAAAAGTATGATATTTTTGCCCATGTGCATTTGCAAACCGTAGTCTGGCTTTTTTATGGCGGTTTTGGAGCAGTGGCTTCTTCCTTGCTGAGCGGCCTTTCAGATTATGTCGATATAAGACTTGTTTTACTGTGGATATAGATACTTTTGTACCTGTTTCCTCCAGCATCCGTTGCTGTTGTTCTGGGATTGATTTGCACTTTTCGCACCAAAGTACGTTCATCTCTAGGAGACAGAACGCGTCTCCTTCCTGAGTGGTATGACGGCTGCGTGGTCCCATGGTGTTTATACTTGCGTACTATTGTTTGTACAGATGAACGCGGTACCTTCAGGCGTTTGGAAATTGCTCCCAAGGATGAACCAGACCTGTGGAGGTCTACAATTTTTTTTCTGAGGTCTTGGCTGATTTCTTTTGATTTTCCCATGATGTCAAGCAGAGAGGCACTGAGTTTGAAGGTAGGCCTTGAAATACATCCACAGGTACACCTCCAATTGACTCAAAATATGTTAATTAGCCTATCAGAAGCTTCTAAAGCCATGACATTATTTTCTGGAATTTTCCAAGTTGTTTAAAAGCACAGTCAACTTAGTGCATGTAAACTTCTGACCCACTGGAATTGTGATACAGTGAATTATAAGTGAAATAATTTGTCTGTAAACAATTGTTGGAAAAATTACTTGTGTCATGCACAAAGTAGATGTCCTAACCGACTTGCCAAAACTATAGTTTGTTAACAAGAAATTTGTGGAGTGGTTGAAAAACGAGTTTTAATGACTCCAACCTAAGTGTATGTAAACTTCCGACTTCAACTGTACATCAAATGCTTTCAAATATTTAGGCTGCTACTTTGAAGTATTTGATATGCTATTTGATCCAAGTAAGTACTGTTCTTGAACACAATAATTCTGCAGTGTAATGTTTACAGTGAATGGGACAACAATCCCGACCCTGGGGAGCCACAGCTTTGGTAATCTTCACTATATTTCACGCCATATGCAACACTTTGAACTGTACAGTTCTGCCCCAGGTATAAGACGGAGAGGGGGAGGAGGTTGGAGGTATTGGCAGGTAACTGAACTGTTGGCTCCATTCATTACCACTATTTTTGCAACTTCTTTGTATGTTTCTCAGGCTTCTTCTTTGGGAAATGTTTGTGGCCAAATGTACATAGCATACAACGTTGTTAACAGACAGTTCACATAAAAAGTGTCTGAAGTCAAAAACATTCTTCCCAAGACGAGTGCCGTTTGAGTTCAAAGGCTAATTCTATTAGTGGTCGATACGGACGGGGCTTGGCCTAGTTGCGTAACTCCCTGATTTCATGCCGAAAAATACCTTCGCAGGCTAAAACGTGTTCCATTTGTTTTACATAATAAGTCTGTTTCTTTTCACAGGCTAAAATGCATTCCATTTTGTTTTAACATAAGGCTGTTTCTCAACGCAGGCTAAAACGAATTCCATTTTGTTTTTACACACGTCTGTTTCTCTTCACAGGCTCAAACGCGTTCCATTAGATTTTACATAAGGTTGTTTCTCAACGCAGGCTAAAACGAATTCCATTTTGTTTTTACACATGTCTGTTTCTCTTCACAGGCTCAAACGTGTTCCATTAGATTTTACATAAGGCTGTTCCTCAACACAGGCTGATAAAACAACCCACACTGAGAACACGTGGTGTTACAGGACTTACAAACCCCCAGAGAAGATGCCTAAGATGCCTGTAAACTATCAACAGCAGATATTCTTGTATAGTATAATGTTTATGATAATAGGAGAAGGCACTAGATAAAACACTGTATAGAACAGGCAGTGGATTGTCAATGGAGGATTTAGTCGTTTCATCCTGCAGGGCATTACAGGGGTTCAGACTCTTCCAGAGGAGATGTCTAAGATGGAGATGCCTGAGATGATTGGAACCTCTGAGATGATTGGTAGCCCTGAGATACTGTTGTTCTTATAGAGTCATTATATAACGTAAGGAGCTGCACCTGGAGCTAAACTTCTTGAGGATTAAGCTGCAGTGCTGTTATTGAATACACATCCAAAGACACTGACAAGGCAGAAATTCAGATGCCTGAGTACCGGGGTAATATTTAAGTAAATCTGTAGGGTGTTTAGCTTTTCTGGAAGCGTTATCTTGTGTCTGGACAGACTAGTGGAACCTCAACACGACCCAAATATGTTTTAACAATGTCATTAGCTGCTGGTAACTCACTGTTGCTGGCGAGCCATTCGTTGAGGTCTATCTCCCTGGGCAGCAGCACCAGCTCTTTGAGGTCGAAGTCGACCACGCGTACTTTTGTGAACTCCGCCTCCAGATACTGCTTCTTCTCTTCCGCTTGCGGCTTCTTCCCATTGGGCTTCGTCTTAGACTTCCTGTAGGGGAAGGGAAGAGAAAGGGGACAGGTTAGAACAATTCACAGGGACATTCACTGACGACTGAGAGGAACTTTTTAGAACTCTTCATCAATGCAGGGACTACAGCTAGCAACTAAAGTATTACATTGCAGATGGGTGGTTTCGTGCACCCAGCGTCAGTACAGACAACTTTCTGTTCCAGTACCTGACCCAGAGCATGACTCCTGACCTGCCGTTAGGGCCAGTTACCACACAGTTAGCCGCCCGCAGCGCCATGTACTTCCAGCACTATTTTTAGCAGGGGACTGTCATTTCACACTCCCACTACACTTCCAGGGCCGTAACCCTTCGCCTCCCTCCCCTCACCCAAAAATCTTGTCCACTAATACAGCCTATCTAGGGGTTAAAGGTTGAATGGGTTAATAGGCTAGTGAAAAGGACAATGCAGGCCTGGCTCAATTGACGGAAAGACCATTACGGCACAGAGTAGCATTAAGTTTGTTTTCCTATTTTCTGGCGTCCCTCTTCATGGCAGTCAAGTGTTCTGGGTTTAACATCTTGGGTTTTTTACTGAGCTCTGACTTGTCCCACTTTAGAACACGATTAGCATTCCAACCGCTTAATTCCTCGCTCCCTCTTCATTATTTCCCTTCCTCTACATTTCCATTTAATTCCCTCGCTCTCTCCCTCTCTTTTTGCAGTCTTACTTCAGTTTGGGTTTGTTTGAGGACAGGGGAGTTTTCACTTGGCGCCCTGAATTTATTGCGCCTCTGTTGACCTTAATTTCCGCCATCCACCCCCTTCTCCCTCCCCTCTCTTCCCACACTCTCCACTCCACAACCTGTCTAAACACAATATAACCCCCCCCCCCCCACAATGTGTTCTTGGCTCTAGCCTTTCGCTTTCCTTCCCACTCACAGATCCTAATTCTTGGAAGACTGGCGGCGGTCCACAATCAGGAGGAACCGAGTAAGAACAGTATGGCTCTGATGGCCATAAACAGTGTTTTCAGCAGAAGCCAATCAGAAGCGTACATCTGTGCCTTCCCATTCCACACACACACTGAAAGACAGAGGAAACTACCTTTACATGTACAGACAATGTCTAGAACATTCACTGCCAACTTTTAATTTTTGAGGACTTTTAAGACAACCCTCTACTGCAGGGGTGTCAAACTCATTTTGCTATGGGATGCCGCTTTCAGATTTCAATGAGGTCGCATGGAATAGCCTTCATTTCTCAGAACAAGAATAGACTGACGAGTTTATGAAGAAAGTTATTTGTTTCTGACCATTTTGAGCCTGTAATCAAACCCACAATTGCTGATGCTCCAGATACTCAACTAGTCTCAAGAAGGCCAGTTGTATTGCTTCTTTAATCAGCACAACAGTTTTCAGCTGTGCTAACATAATTGCAAAAGGGTTTTCTAATGATCAATTAGCCTTTTAAAATGATAAACTTGGATTAGCAAACACAACGTGCCATTGGAACACAGGACTGATGGTTGCTGATAATGGGCCTCTGTACGCCTATGTAGATATCAACCAGACAATCAACCAGTTGACTAAATGGGGTCAGTCCTACATTACAGTAGCGGATAACAATCTGTGAAACCTAACGGGTAACGACAAGTTCTTCTTCATGCCCTTACCTAACTTAATTTACTCTAGAATACCACAGCGATTGAAATTGGTTGATGCATGTAGCCTACCTACACGTACCACCTTTAAAAGTTAACTTTTATGACCTTCAAGGGGATTTTCCAGTTACGTGATGTTTGAGGAAGAATAACAAAAGAGAGACTATATGAAGTTAATAAGTAGGCCTATGCCTAGTTCTCAGCTCACAGGGAAGAAAGCACATTACCCAACCTTGTTTCCTCAATAGTGAAACGGCTGAATACAGAGGCAGGTGTGAACACAGGCTGTTACATAGAGGTTGAAGTGGGTAAATTCATGTCAGGGGATGTATGGTGAGGATAACTCCCGAGTGGCGCAGCGGTCTAAGGCACTGCATCGGAGTGCTAGAGGCGTCACTACTGACCCTGGTTCGATTTCAGGCTGTATCACAATCCAGCCGTGATTGGGAGTCCCATAGGGCGGCGCACAATTGGCCCAGCGTCGTCCGGGTTTGGCCGTCATTGTAAATAAGAATTTGTTCTTAACTGACTTGCCTAGTTAAATAAAGGTTAAATAAAAAAATTAAATAACTAGAGCCTGTTAGAAAAGACTGCACAATGAAATCCTGACTTTGTTTGAGTACTTGAAAAATCCTTCCTCCCTGATGTGATTGGATAGGTGAACAAGGTGTCTCCCGAGTGGCGCAGTGGTCTAAGGCACTGCATCGCAGTGCTAGCTGTGCCACTAGAGATCCTGGTTCGAATCCAGGCTCTGTCGTAGCCGGCTGCGACTGGGAGACCCATGGGGCGGCGCACAATTGGCCTAGCGTCGTCCAGGGTAGGGGAGGGAATGGCCGGCAGGGATGTAGCTCAGTTGGTAGAGCATGGTGTTTGCAACGCCAGGGTTGTGGGTTCGATTCCAGACACTCACTAACTGTAAGTCGCTCTGGATAAGAGCGTCTGCTAAATGACTAAAATGTAAATGTGTGGTGGAAACCTTGCAGTCACCTATCTGATCTTGTCAAATCAGTGATTACTTCAAGTGGAATACTGGACCAGAGGGGGCTAGGCCCAGAAGCTGCTCACCTCTCTCTCTCACACTTCTGTGTCGGCAGGGGGTGCTCAGTAGGGCAGGGGTGCTCTGAATGGGGTTTAGCCCTATAGCTTACTCCAAGCTCTACGGAGATCATGATTCGGAGGGTGTTGCAGTATAGTTTTTCATCACAAAAGGTGTGTGAAATGCTTGAACCTGCTGTAGCCAACTAGCTAGCCAGGTGCTTTTTTCATCATGACCAAAACATGATGACGTTCTATTTTTAGCTGATATGGGAATGAATACACAAGCAGCATATCAAACTGGGATAATGTTTTAAGTTACACCGGCAAGTATAAGAATATTTGCCAGGGCTTATTTAAAAAAAATTATATATCTATATATGATTATTTCACATGGAGATGTGGGAAGCTAAAAAGGGCTAGCTAGCTTGCTATGTTTGTAGCCAACTGGCCAGGCTGCCAGCTAGCTACTACTAGTAAGGGAAGGCAACTCTTCATTGCTTGACAAAACTAAAAAACTGTCCGCTGCTCCAAAAATCCCACTCCACACACGCACGTAGATCAACAGAGTGAAGCTTGTAAGTAACCTTATTGCAGCACACAGGCATGGGGAGGAGGGACCTCGAGCCTCCAACACATTGGGTAAGCGAGCCTCTGTCATGTCAAGTGATCCTCTATGCCGTGAATGGAAATGAATATGACTGCATGGCATGAAAGTACATTCAACAAGGTTAATAAGAAAAACCGATGTAACATGACTATAGAAGACTTGCATCAAACAGGCCTCAGGACCGTTTGGCCTCGACTTCTAAAAGTAGAAGAAATCAGAGAAGACTGCCATTGTTGCACATTTCCTCCGAGACTAGCTGAGTATGAAACGTGTGGAGATTTCTGCCTTACTCCTGTGTCTTTATAACCCAGTAATGGCTGCTGTGGCTTGGCTGGCTCGGCCTGCACCTCTCTGTCTGTGGTTTTTCAGGGAAAAGAGCCATTGAGAAGTATACTCAATTTAGATGCCTAAAATAGATCTGTAAGTCTAACTGGAAGCAAGCAATCTGAAGCTGATATCCTCAGCCAAAGTCTGTCCTTACAAAATGGAGAAGAGCTTAGTGTATGCAGTACGGTTCAATAATAATAATAATAATATGCCATTTAGCAGACGCTTTTATCCAAAGCGACTTCCAGTCATCATCTCTCTCACGTATTGATCCTCTCTTCCAGTTGCGCTGGACACTGCCAATGGAACAAAGATGAAAAGAGTCTGGAGAAAATAAGTATGAAAATGTATGTACTCACTACTGTAAGTCGCTCTGGATAAAATGTCAGATCACAACAGGAGGAAGGAACCTTTTTGACTTTGGATTGATTCACTTTTTTGGCCTCTTTGACTTTATCTTGGGGTCGTTTTGATTTGTTGCTAGGGTTGTTGTTCAGGTTAATGTTTGTTGGTCAAAAAAGTACAGGAAGAACATCAACACATCTGTTCCTTATGTTGTGTTGTCTCCTCTATCGTCTCTGTAGATACTGTAAGGTGGTTAACACTGATAACACTGCTGGTCGGCTGGTATCGCATTAAGTCCAGGTGGTAAGAAAAGCAGCGTGTTTCTCTGGTGTGGATGGAGCTCACCTCCACATACCAGGGCTAAAGGAAACATGCTCAGTAGGCGCTTCAAAAATCCACCATAACTACCCTCCAGAGAGAACAGGGGAAAAAAAACTCCTCACATTGTCTGGCATAACTTTGTTTACGCTCCAAGTACAAGTTCTTCTCCCTAATTCAAAACCTCAACCCTCATGAGGACAATGTGTTTTTCCTCTTTTGTTTAGGGTTTTGTGGAGGGTTAGCTGATCCAAGATCTGTGCTCAGTGTGCAGGAAGCCATCTTGTTTGGATGGATGCTGAACACTGTTCCCTGTCACAGATTGCATTAACCACTTCCATATGCCAATTGTTAGATGCCTCCCAAATTCACCAGGCCAATTTAAGCAACAGTTGTGCAATATTGGGCTTGGCAGGCAGGTGCCACTGACTGAGGGGAAAGTAAATACATGGCTAAAGTTAGCAAGGGGGTAAGTCATACCAAATGTGTTAAGATTGCATAATGCAGTCAATGCACTAATAAAAATGAGGAAATCCTCTTGTTCCAAGCCTTTAAAGTAGCAGTGTGCGTGCGTCAGTGTAGGTGGAATTTGTGCATGTTTCACTGTTCAGGTGATAACTAAACAGAGTTAGCGACGCATACAAAGTGGCCAGGCGGCTCGATTCCAAGGTTGCCTACTTAGAAAATACAACACTGTTAGCTTAATGTATACAGACTTTCTGGTAGCATTTTTTAGTCAAAGCACTTTCAGCTTTCCTCTGCATATTGTGTAATGTATGGAATGATGATGCTATTAATTGGAAGCAGGTTGTTGGGGCTGAACAGTAACAGCCAGTCTTGTGTTGTACCTGCCAGAAGGCTGCCTCTCCTTAGTGGGTTGTCTATTTTAGTCTTGAACACTGCTCATTCAGCAGCCACACAGCCTTTTTCTTACAGGCCTACGAGACTAGTTGACTCCTGATGAGGCGGATTGGGAACTGCACTCACTGCGCGAACACTGTT